GTCGGAAATCAAAAAATGTCTTCATGATATGAGTCCCTACGTGAGAAAAGCAGCTGCTTTAGGTATCATTAAAGTATTCAGACAAAATCCAGATGAACTCGGAGCAGAATGTGCTGATTTAATCGGAGAATTATTGAAGGATAACAATACTATGGTTTTGGGAGCCGCAGTTCACGCTTTCAATGAAGTCTGTCCAACCAACTACTCATTGATTCACCCAGTATTCAGAAAACTGTGCCGATTCTTGTTGATTGTGATGAATGGGGACAATGTTCAATTATGCAAATGTTGTTACGGTATGGACGTGCTCATTTCCAATCTCCATTCAAGAGTGATGCATACAAGAAACGTGCTTTCTACGAAGATGACGATGACACAGAAGGAAATCATGACGGAAACAAGAAATATTCGATGATGGGTTTGAACCAGGAGCAGAGATGGAACTTGATCAAGATCACAGATTATTATTGAAATCAACAGCTCCTTTATTGAAAACTAACAACAGCGCTGTTGTTTTAATGGTGGTCGATTTACATTTCTATTTGGCACCTAAACAAGAATTTGCTTTGAAATGTGTCGCCCCATTATTGAGAATTTTGAGATTTTATCGTGAGAATGCATACATTGGGTTAATGTCTGTCTCAACCATCGCAAGAGAACGACCAGAAATTTTTGCAAATCACCTGAAGGATTTCTTTATTTATTCAACAGATCCAGCCTATGTAAAGAATCTCAAATTAGAGATTTTGTCACTTCTCGCCACTGATGAAACAGTTCACAGTATTCTGAAAGAATTCAGAACTTATGTCAAATTCCCCAACGAACAAGACTTTGTTAACAATACTGTTAGAGCCATGGGAAGAGTGGCATCAAGAATTCCTGAAGTTGTAGAATCATGTATTGGTACATTGATGAATTTAATTACAAAGGGATCAGATACAATTGTGGCAGAATCCATTATTGTCATTCATCAACTCTTGCAACAAAATCCTGAAGATAACAAGAAAATTATTTTGCAAATGGCCATTTTGTTGGATGATATCAAAATTCCAGTTGCCAGAGCAAGCATTGCCTACATGATTGGAGAATATATTGACTATCTTCCTTCAAAGGAGGGTATTGGCATTGGCGTTGCTGCTGATGCTCTACGTATTTTAGCCAAGGATTTTGTCAAGGAAGATGACTTGGTCAAATTGCAAGCTTTGAATTTGAGTACCAAATTGTATTTGAAGGTTGCCAATACCGCTGACGTTAAAAAGTCAGAGCAAATCAATTTATTGATTCAATATGTTTTGAACTTGGCTCGATATGACCAGAGTTATGATGTTCGTGATCGTGCCAGATTTATGAGAAATATTTTATTCAATCCAAAAGGACTTGTATCTACTTTGCATGAAAAATCGGACGATATTTTCGGAGCCAACACCAAAACATCCATTTCACTTAACAGCAAGTTTGTTGAGGACCGTGCTAGATTTATTTTAGGTACATTGTCACACATTCTAAACCATTCTACAGATGGCTATTTGCCTCTTCCTGATTTCCCACCAGAAACTCTCAACTACGAAGACAGAAATGTTTTGGCATCGACTGACGTGCAAGCTGATGTTGGTGCTATTGGAGAGACATCCTCAGATTTATTCTCTGGAGATATCGACGACTTTTATGGTGAAGAAGAGGAAGAAGAAGAAGAGGATGATGAATTGGAGGGAGATGCTGAATTTGAGGAAGAGGAAGAGGAAGAAGAGGAAGAGGATGATATTGACAACTTTTATGGCGAAGAAGAAGAAGAAGAGGAAGGTGAGGAAGAGGAAGGCGAAGAAGAAGAGGAAGAAGAAGAGGGTGAAGAAGAAGAAGACGAAGAAGAGGAAGAAGAAGAAGAGGAGGAAGAGGAGGAGGAAGAAGATGATGAAGAAGAATTCATGAAGCCTTCATCGAGCTCCAAATCAGCTGTAAAAACACCAACAAGCGCCAAAAAGCCAACCACTACCACCTTTGATTTTTACTAGTCTCGAGACAATTAAATAATATTTCACTTTTTGTGCTGACTCATCGTTTGACTTTTCACACAAATATTTGCCACAAGGGAAGGACGAGAGATTGGAAATCATCAAAACCCACAACAACAAAAAAATGCAAGCCTTGGATCGTCATCTTCTCGATTTACATACAGTACTCGAAGAAGGAGAAAAGTGCACAGCACTGTTAAATCCAATTTCTATCGTTTCGGATATGAACGATTTTTGCAGTCGACTCTCCTCGGACGACATTGGTCTCTGCTCTAGTATTCTATTCCATGAAGAGAAGGGAATATTTGCCTATGTCAATCGATCACTCACTTTATATCCAAGTTCGATTGGAGGCAACAAGACGATGACTCTGAGTCGGAAAGCAATTTTCGACTTTTTATTGAATTATATTAAAATTGCAAAAGAACGAATTTTAGAGCACGTTCTTGTGATCAAAAGGTGGTGTGTCAATGTCTTCCGACGAGAGAGTTCGAATCAAGTACGACTCGCAACCATTCCTCCTCTCATTAAATTATTAATTATTTTGATGGAGAATGATTCTCCATTATTGATATCAAAAAGTTCCTCTTCCTCCTCCGAATCGGATGAAGCAGGTACGTCCTCAACGACCAATGATGACGCAACCAAGAATAACAATCAAATGGAGACAGATGAGAGGAATGAAAACTCTACTACTGGAGAATCATCAAGTGCTGTGGCTACTTTATCCAATCGATCTCCTGCAGAGTCCGATACAAGTCTCAATATTCGAGAAGTGTTCCAAGTCTATTTCAAAGAATTCCAACGATTGGGCAATAATGGTAATCAAACATTGAAAGGAAGTATTTTACACTTATTAGGTGTGTTGTGTGAATATTTTCCTGGAGAGACACACATGTATCAACAACAAATGTTGTCTCTTCTCATGAGTACACTACTCAATCAGTCAAAGAAGGCAAAACCAGAACCACAATTGATTGCTTCGACGTTTCGAGGTCTCTCCCATTTCTTGTCTCAATTTGGTGGTTCTGTAGAAGAAGGTTCGACCTATATCAAACCATTGTATCAACTCTTGTGCACAAGTCTGGAGCTTGTGAATGAAACTCGATACGACGTTCCAAAATCTGCATTGATTTTACTTGCGAAACATGCATTCCAATTTAAGGAATATCTCACAGTGGATGCAGAGAAAATGTTTGATCGACTTTCAACATTATGTTCTCATCGAAATGACAAGGTACGAAAGAATGCATTCCCTGCACTTGAGAGTTTCCTAGCACAAATTTCATACGAGTTAATTCGTGATGGCGGAAGAAAACTTGAATCGAATTTGCGAACGTTTAAGAATCTCATGCAAAAATTCAAAGGTTTACTTTCACTAAATTTTTCTGATGTCTCTGTTCAATCGAGTACGGCTCCATCCATTAATCCAAACATCAACAAGTATTTCCTAAGTATTGCAATTAGAAGTTTTGGACAATTTGCTCTTCCAATGAAGAAATTCTTGACACAAAACGACATGAAAATAATTCTAAGACAATTACTGAAATTGAGTGATCAATTACTTACAAGAAGTCAAGAGCAACTTGAAGAATCTGTTTCTCACATTCCATCTTTTTTATCTGCTTTTGCGAATATTATTCTTGAACTTGACATTGTTGATTCATGGATTATGGACTCGTTAGAGAAAATTTCAGGAATTTTGTTTTTGGTTTACCCAAAGCAATATCTGTTCCCCAAGTATAAGTATGCTAATTATAGCGCATTTGTGAAATTATTGATTGCATTGTATATGAAAGAGAGAGCTCTTGGAAACTTTTTAGATCGAATTGTGTTTCAATGTATGACTTTGACAATTTCTAGTGTGACTTCTCTAGTGACCACCAATGATGTGAACACCAATACTAATTCAATGGCCTCCGACCAACCTCCATCCCTCTATGAAGAATACTTAGATTTATGGTACAATATTTTAAATCCAAAGAATATCAAACTAGGAGATTGGAATTATCCATGGGTTGATTTAACACTATCCGAAGATCTTATTGAACATTTGCATTCCATTGTGTATGACAAATTGATCGAAGTGATTATGCAAATGATATCCAAATTCGATCTCAGATGTACACATGCAAGTACCTTGTCGGGAGATGGCAGTACCTCTGGAAACTCAGTCACAACAGCTACAGGGCAGGTAGTTGATGAAGGAACTGCAATTCTTCAAGATGCACTCATCCCATCAAATGCTAAAGATATGGAGCTGTTCTTGAACTTGGTTGAATTTTCAAAAAGATTTTTGAAGAAGTGTAAACCAAAACACTTTTTAAGATGGAATTATGTGTTCTCGAAACTTGTTGTAGAAAAATCAATTCAATATCCATACATTAGCGGATTCTACAAAATGTTATCAGTGGCCATGAAGATTAGTGACAAGTATGACTATTTTGAAAATATCAACGACAAGAGTACCATCATGAAGTCATCTTCCACAATTGTAAAACAAGAATCTCAATCACTATTGGCTGAGAATGCTGCCCAAATGACAGATGAAGAAGTTGAAGATGATGAAATTCTCATGAAGAAACTCTTCATTGTCGATTACAATACCAAAGTCATTTGCTATCAATTACTTTTGAAGTTTGTTAAAGATAACGTCATTCAACGATTGCATGAATTCAAAGGAGAATTACTCACTAGTTGCATCAAATTTGTGCTTTCCATGCCTAAATCATTTATTGATCTCAAATATTGGGTGCATCCATTGCAGTTATCCTTCGAGTTGGGCCTAAGTTATTTACCTCTTGCAAACATCGGTCTTGAAGCCATTGAATATTGGTTGAAAGTGTTGCCAAGATCTGAACTTGTTGAAAAGTGCTTCCCTAAAGTTTTACCAAAATTAGATCCCTATCTGATGGTCAAGCACAACAACTCTATTGGTGTGAGCGGTGACGACAATGATGTAGATGCAGAGGTGTCCGACATTTCCAAACTGTTGAAAGGACAAACCAAAACTTCCATCAGAAAAACCAATGATAACACTACACAAGCTAAAAACAAGCTTTCTAGTTTTGACAAAACCCCACTCAAGAAAGTACAATTAGGTATCATCCGATTACTAGGAAAAATTGGAGGAGACAATGCCAATATTTTGAACAAGGCCGAAAATTCACACGCCAATGACGATATCATTATTACATGGGACACGGAGCCACGTGTGAAATTCTCAATGCCATTCCGTGATGTGAAAATGGAACTTTTCTTTGATCCTGTTTTACCCAGAATTACGGAACTTGCTGAAAAATCTAGTGATAGACAAACCAAGATTGCGGCATGTGAATTCTTGCACTCGATTGTACTTTATATGGTTGGTAAAAATGCATATAGCCCACAAGCAAGACAAAGGGCACAAGAAATTCAAATGAAGCAACAGGAAGAAGATGAAAAGCGCAAAAACAAGCAAGATTCATCAATCAATGATGAAGAATCTACTGTAGTAGTCTCAAGCGACCCAACCCCTTATTACAAAATCTATGAAAAATTATTTCCAGTATTGTTGAGACTTTCAGTCGATACTGAACAAGTCACCAAACAATTATTTGAACCTTTAATGTTCCAATTGGTCCACTGGCTTACTCAAAACATGCAATATGAAAATAAGGAGACCATGGCTTTATTGGACTCAATCATTGATTCCATGTCAAACACTACGGATGGAGCTCTCAGAGATCAATGTGCTTTATTATTGAATGAATTCTTGAAGTGGTCAGTCAAGCACGATCGTGACAAGAAATACATTAATGTGAAATCACTTTTCCAAAGGCTATACAGCAACATCCATCATCCAAATTTGTTCAAGAGATTGGGAGCTGTTATTGCTTTTAACAGCATGTACAAAAGCTTTAGAGAAGTAGACGCACTCGTTCAAAGACATGTGCTTGATTGGTTACACAATGTGATTATCAGTTTAAAAATTATTGACAATGATTCAGAAATTTTAGAAAATCAAAAAACATCTCATTCGAGCTCCAACAGCACTGGTATCATTGAAAAATCTATTCAATTAATTGGACATATCGAGAGAATTGTAGTTCAAAAATCATCTCTTCTTATCAGTGAGATGGATCGTAGAATTCACACAACGCTTGCTGATTGTGTGGATTGGATTTTCATGCAATGTGGAAACGGCGAGAGAATTTGTCGTGAGCAATGCATGAGATTATTCCCAACGTTGTGCATGTTATTGCCTGGATTTGATACAGATGATGGCCACGAAGATGGATTCATGCAAAATTCAAATCTGACGAATCGAGCGTTCTTCGAGTGGTAGACGTTCCTTCTTCGTACATTCCAAGCTATGGAGGTTCAATTAAGGTCAAATCAGAGAAAGAAGAAAAGAAAGTGAATATTGCTCTCAGTACGACAGCAACAGCCAATGACATTTCTTATTTTGAAAAAGTAATGGTTTGGCTTCAAAAGTTAGAGGCCTCTTTTGATTGTCTTTATTGGTTATTTAATCACAAATTTTTGTATCCTCACCAATTGTTTAACTTGGAAAAGGAACATGATGAATTGAATCTCGAAAATAAGAGAGCATCTTCATCTGGAAGTCGAGCTACAAATTACAAAAAGAGGAAAACAACTGATGACAATGACATGCTCGATGATGATGGAGAAGTGAGAGTAATAGAGGATGAACAAGAACATGTGGCCTCGACTTCATGCTCGATCATTGGTCACATTTATAACTTTATTGAAAAATTTGCTCTCAAAAAGACGAGTGAGTCATTTATTTTGATCAGTTCTTCCGACTCAGAAAAGTATATTCACAGAAAGACCTCTACATTATTCAAGTTACTGACCTTCTTTGGCTTGATGCTTGACAAGTATCCAAGCAGTTTATTATCACAAAAAGTCACAGAGAAGGAAAATATTTTGGAGAACACCAAATTCCTCACATTATTATTCCTTTGCATTTTAACACCATCCAAGCAAGGCTTTAACACGAATCAAGAGGAAGTGCAAACTATGCTACCTCGATTAACACGAAAGATTCTAGAATCAATTGTCACGTATTCAAAGCATACCGCTAATGGATCAGCAATTATTGCTAAATGCAAAAAGATTTTGAATGACATGTTGTCACAACTTGTTGAAAAACATATTCATCAATTAGATTTCACAAAATCAGTCAAGTTGAATATGGATGATTATACATTCATGTTTAGAGGAATAAGACTTTTGCACAAATTAGATTATTTAGATGACGATGCCTTACGACCTCATTACTCATCAAAAAATGAGTTTGGAAAGAAGATTTTAGACAAGTTATTTAATCAACATTTTGATCCTTTAATGGGACCAGTGAATGTTATTATTTGCAAAGAAATGCTTCAGATGTGCTTTGAGTTTTCCATTGATGTTGATCATTTATTAGATATGGTCACAAACACCACAGCTTCCTCTTCAGCCGACAACATTTTATCGAAGAAGTTATCCCAAATTGATTCTTCATATCAAATTGCAGGTGACGAAGGTAGCAGCGCAGAACATCATTCCAAACAGCCTCACAGAGTGAAGCCAACCACGAAAGGAGCGCAATTTTACAAAATATTCCACTCAGAAATTGACACGTACATTTCTGAACACTTGGATGTATTTTCCAAGGCACTCCTGACACGAATTGCAAACATTCCATCACTCAAAGATCAGCACGAGCTGAACCATCACTTTTTATTTGATGTAATTCTGAGCGTGAGTTTGAAATTTTTAAGACTTCCAACTTCGAAAAAAGATAAGAAGTCGATCTTTGTGCAGCATGTATTGGATTCTCTGAAACCAGTTCTTGAAAAATGTAAGAACACTACCGATGACGATTACAAAATCAAGACCATGTCACTCATTGAGAGACTTTTCGCTTTGGATGCTACATTAATATTGCAGCATGTCATTTATCAAGAGGCTATTATTGAATTCCTTTTGACATGTCTCAAAATCAAGAGAGATGATTCTTCTAGAACTTCAGAGAGTGAATCACCATCCAATCTATTTGATTTGAAATTGAAAGCCATTCGTATTTTGCCAGTCATCTTTAAGAACTCTCTACTGTCGTCTGAAAAGGACGAAGTAAAAGAAAAGTTCAAAGGAGAACTTGCACCAATTCTTAATCAAATCAAGAAAATTGTGATTGATGATTTTCCATTGAATTATGAAGAAATAGAAGTTGAGTCAAGCGAATACGATGATCATGTTTCATTACTTGAGGACTTACTTTTTGCTCTTCAAGGATCTGATTCTGTTGAAGTGTTGGAACAAATTTTGCCACTTTATCGATGGAAAAATCATCCAATTCAAGAACGAATGACACAATCATTGAAATCCTTATTTGGAAAATTCACAAATGAAAAGCTATTGAAAGCAGCCAATAGTTGTTTAGAGACATTCTACAAGGAAAGTTTGCCAATCGATATTCGAAGACAAGTGATTCAGTGGGTTTGTCTCACATGCCTCACACACATGCCTGAACGAGTGTTAATTCAATTCTTTGAGGACAATATTCAACGATTAATGAAATCGATCGCAAAACCAACGGCTCTAAGTGAAGAAAGTTCAAATCCCAATATTGATGAACTCGATACAGATTCTGTAAAAGCTCTCGTTGTCACGAGAACTTGCTGTTACAATTTACTGGAAGCCATGTATCGTTTATTGCCTGCTACTGCTGTCAAGGAATTTATCAACAACAAGTATTGTGAAAAAACAGCAAACAGCGGTCAGCTTACTGGTAAAGAATTGACGGAGAAAGTTATGAGATCGAGCTTTGCTGCACGTTCATGGAAACCCAACGATCAAGAATTCAAGTTGTTGGGTCACGACTTGTTACTCGATTTTAGAACAAGTGCTTTCAATGTGCTTGCTGGAGGTGTGAAATGTACACAAACTCAAGAAAAGTTTTATACAGGATTTCTCTTCAAAGAAAAAGAGGATGATTTGTGGGAAAATATTGTCAATCTCGATTGCCATTATAACTTTGAAATTGAGACCAATTTTGCATTCCATCGAAAAGCAGTGGACGAATTACGAGTAGATTCTAATCAAAAGAAAATTGAATCCCATGCTGGCACTCACAGAAAACCAGGAGAGCTACAAATCGGTTATCTTTCGTCACAATATCTTTCTGACAGTTCATTGAGCTCTAGTTTGCCAATTGCTAGTAATTTCTTTATTCCTGGATCGAAATATGCAGAAGAGGCCATTTTGAGCAATTCATCAGAAGAAGAAGCATCATCGAACAAGCCACAAGATGTTGGTTCTACCTCTTCCACGAGCAATGACAGCAACACCAACTCTACTTTGGAAATGGACGAAATTAATGCTAATCCTTGCATGTCTGCCGTGTTGAGAACGATCGATCACATGGTCTCTATTTTCAAATATCCTGGCGTTTCATCAGATGCTTCATCCGTAACGTCCACCACGACACAAACCATGCCTTCATGGATGGGTGAAATGCACAAAAAGCTAAATAACGACTCTACACATAGAAATATCAAACTCTTCATTTGCAAGGTCATCATTAACAGACCCAATGTGTTTGAACCATTTGCCAAACACTTCTTCGAACCTATTGTGAAACTAATTTTGAGAGAAGAAGAGGAACAAAGTGAAGACGTCTCTACTAGAGGTATCAACTACTTTATCAGAGACTTGTTAATTTTATTGTTGAGATGGAAAGACGTGTCTCCACACAAATCAGCACTCACCAAAGATTTAGCTTCCAAATTACTCGCATTCATGTTTAAGAATTGTGCTCATCAAAAGAAAGTGATTCTGAGATCCAATCTTGAATTGATTAAACTGATGGTTGAGAAATGGAGAGAGGCAATGACTATTAACAAAACTATTATTCTAGGATGGCTATGTCATGACGAATCGAAATCGTCAGCAAAATTAGCGAGAACAACAGGACTTCAACTTTTGGGAATCATGATTGCGAATGATATTCCAATCTACATGACCGAGACAGATTCCAATTTAGGAGTGAATGAAGAACAATTCTATGAGAAGATTCTCGATAATTTAAGCTTCAAGAACAAGGACGTTTATGAAGCAGCTGCAGAAATTAGCGGAATGATTTTGAAGAGTCTTTCAAATTCTAAAACACATTCAAATGATAGTGTGAAATTGTTTGAAAAATTACTTCTTGCAAGATGTTTGGGAATTCTACAGAAAATGCAATACGATCGATTCTTGAATTGTCTCTACAAGATTGGAATTCATGATACTGGATTTATTGACAATTTCTTGCCAACCAAGATTTTGGATATTTTACCAAATTTATATGGTGTTTATAAGAAGACAGCTCTTCAATTGATTTCATGGAGAGCTGAACATATTACTGATTTGTATACTTCTTTGAAGCCATTCATTCGTCAACATTTACAACACAAAGATGAACCTACTCAATTATTAACACTTCAAATTGTTTATCAACTCGTGAAAGCAATTCCAAAAGATGACGTCATGCACTTTATGGAAATTATTACTACACATATTAACACGAGTGATGCTCAAATGATTGCAACATTCTCTGAACCTTGCCGAGAAAAGTATTATGACATTTTAATTTGGTTATTCGATAACAGACCTACCGAATTTAGAAGTGATGAAATGATCCGAACAGAGTTGCTAAAGGCCATGAATGATCCTTCCGAAGACATTCGAAAGAAAATGCTCATCTTTTGGGATCACGAATCTAGATTATCCAACGAAAGTTTACGTCGTTTGGAGCAATCATTTACTCTCTTATTTTCACAAAATTTAGGTGACAAGTGGCTTCAATTTTCCTCATACTTGATTCTTCAATTATTACATCGTTCACCTGATTTTTCTGATACCAACGCCATCTTCTCAGAGAGTCTTTCCAATTGTGTCTTTAAAGAATACAAGATTGACACAAGTTGGCAACACAGAAGTTTACCACTAACGGCCACATCCATTGTTCTTGGATCTGGAGTATCGATAGGATCTAGTTCCAAGAAGGGACATGGAACTGTTCAAAGTTATGCATCTCTTCCTTATGAATCTCTTGCATTGGAAGATCCCTATGCCACTTTGTCACAATCTCAACAAGTTCCAGCAACTATTGGTGTTGGAATGGTCAAGGCCACTCAAACTCCTCAATTTACTCCAACACAATATGCAACAGAGACGTTGAAAGATATTCTTTCAGCTCCAAGTATGAGTCAAACATCACTATTGTTCACACCGTTCAAGTCTGTGACCAGTAATAATGCTCAAGGAAATAGTGCAGATACCACAGGTGGAAATTCTGCTACAGCTACTGGAGGAGCTAGTGGGGCTACTTCCGAGTCATTCCAAGGTCCATACTTGAGAAGAAGATTTTTAAAGTTAAAGGAAAATACCATGACACAATATCAAGCACGTAGAGCTGTTCGATTGAAGAGAGAAAAAGAAGCTTGGGAAACTCGACAAAAAATTGCAAAGAAAAATAAGATTACCATGTACAGAAAGTACAGAACTGGAGAATTACCAGATATTCAAATTGCTTTAAAGGAAATTATTACTCCATTGCAAGCACTTTGTCTCTATGATGTGAATGTTTCCAAGCATTTGTTTGTTTCGGTATTCTCTTCTCTATATCCAAATATTGCACAAAAATTGGATGAAAAACAAGCTGAGACATTGAAGAATAATATTCACACGACCTTCAATCAAATGTTAAAACAATCTGGGGATAGCTCAGTATTGATGTCTGCGTTAATGACTTTATGTCTTGAAATTTTGGACCTTCAATCACCTAAATTTAACATTCTATCACCCAAACTTGTTCGATCTGTTAGTATGCAAAGTTTCAACGTTGAATTAGGAATCCTATTGTTGGAATCTTTAATTGAAAACAATGCTATTGATTCTGGAAATGACGAAGACATGATTGATCAAGATCGAGACATGAGAGCTTACATCGACGCATGGATCGAATTAGGTAAACTATACAAATCCATCGATGAAGAAGACGTGGTTCGATCCATTTTCGAGTATCACGTCGCTCAACAAGAAAATACCAAGAGAGCTCTTTCCGAAGAATTAGCTGGTCGGTACAATAGCGCACTGAAAATTTATGGACAGGGTCTACAAGATTGGGATGCTGGTTGGAAATCTCATGATACTCCACCATTAGAAGAAGAAGTAGTCTTTTGGCGAGAACAAAAATTAGAATGTCTTAAAAAGATGAACCAATGGGATACTGTGTTACAAGAAGTTGTGTCTGATTTGAAACGAATGACCAAATCTGAAAATATCACCAATGATGAATCATCATTGATACAAGAAAAGATTTGGCAAAGTGAAAATAGTGACAAGTTGCTTTCCCTATTTTTGGATAGTAATTTGAAACTGAAAGAACGATGGAGCGCGTTACAACATTTCATTGAAGTTGCCATGAGTTCAAACACAAAGAGAGACACCTTGGAGAGCAAGTTCTGTGATCGCCTTTCATTCTTGTCACTCTTTATTCAACAATATGAAAAGGCCAAGTCCTACATTGTGGATAGTTACGCCGAATTTTTACAAAGTTGGAGCTCATTGTCACCGCTCGCTAAAACTGGTCGTCATATTTATTTGCAAAAACTTCAACCTCTTGTAGAAATTGAAGAATTTATTGATTTGTGGCAATCTCAAATGAATATGAAACCAAAGAAGTTAATTCAATTGTTGCAAACATGGAAATCGAGATATCCAAGTTCATACATTGATGATATGAACACGTGGGACAATGTGGTCACCAATCGAAATTTCATGTATGATTTAATTTCACAAAATTTGGAGAACTTTATTGAAAAAGATCAACCAAAACTTTCACTCAGTGGAAAGTCGTCTTCACTTCGACCTCTCACAAGCAGCTTGTTAGGTGACGACCCAACGACTACACTTCTTCTCTCAGCAGGATCTCTTTCACAACAAGACTATGTGGTTGGTGCTACCTCTACTGGTTCATCTATTTTGACAATGGACTCTGAATCTCTCTCAAAATCTATTGCAAGAGAGAAGGCCATCATGTATTTGACCGTCACAAAAGCCGCCAGAAAACAAAAGAACAATACTGTTGCTCAGAGTTATCTCAAAATTGCACAAGGATGCAGTAAGAATTTGTTGACTTCAGATTCTAACAGCAGTGATGCAATCGCTTTTGATTTTGAATTTTTCAAATCTCTTGTGAAATTATTGAAGATTAAGGCAACAAGCAAAGGATCGACTACTGCTGACACTGTTTCTGTGTTTGAGAAACTTGTTCGATTTATCAAACAAAATGGAAACAAGTATGGAAACGAAGCAAGCATGCCAATCAAATACTTGTTGACCTACAAATTATTAGATGCAGATGCAAACGCTTCGTTTGCTTCTACTCTTCGAGAAATCAAAGTTCAAAACACAGATTTAGGATCTTCAGAAGACATTTTAAGATCTTCATTTGTTCGATTTAAAGAATCGATTGAATTGGTGAACAAACATATTGCACAAGTGTCTGATGATTCCAAGATCATCAAAGTCGATGACGACGTCGACTATGTGTCACATCCTCAAGCATCCAAGATTTATCTCAAGTTTGCACTATTTTGTGATAATCTTTTGAAGCAACGCTTGAATCAAACTGATGATGACGAAGATATTATTTTAACAAGAGATCAACAACATAGTTCACTTCCTTCTAATGATCAATTAGCCAATTATATTGTTGAAAATCTCATGAACAGTATGAAATATTTCAACAAGGAAGCAAGAGATCGATTCCCACGTTTATTAGAATTATTAGAAAAATATCCAACCACAAGAAGTGTCTTTTCCAAATTTGTACCTTCAACTTGTACGTTACAAATTCCAAGTTGGATGTTTATCACATGGATTTCACAATTATTGGCTCACCTAACAGGACCAGAGGGAGAATGTCTAGTTCCAATATTAATTTCCATTGCTGAAAACTATCCACAGTCCTTATATTATCCATTGAATATCAGTGCAGATGAAATTATTGATTCTTACGAAAAAGGAAATACCACTATTACTCGCAAAGTGTTGGAAGGTATCAAAATTATGAGACAAAAAGTGAAAAACCCACTCATTGAAACATTTATTTATTCTCTCAAAAAGTTGAATTATCCAGAATTACGATTCAAAGCATTCATGGATGACATTAAGGAAATTATGAAATCCAAAAATTACAAGTCAGAAAATAGTCGAAAGAAAGATATCAAATCCAAATGGGAAGAATGCTATGATGATGTTTTTGATCCCAATGCTCCTCATATTGGCGTTTACAATGTAAGATTTGCCAAAAATTGGGCTCCAGCCATCAAGAAGGACTTTGGAGGACGTGACGGTGAAAAATTGTTAAAAATGGATGAAAAGACGTTTGAAAGTTCCTATTTATCAAAATTCAAAAAGATGAAAGAAACGAAAGGAGCTTTACAACATGGCAAGACGAAACTTGAATACTTTTCTAAATGGATGCTTGATTTCCATCAATCGTCATCTTCATTGAATATGAATCATTCAATGTCCTCCTCTTCTGATTCTTCTCATCAACATTTCATTGAACTACCTGGACAATATATTGATAACATTGGAAAGGCAGCTTCTTCCTTAATGTTAGGAACATTATCCATGAATACGAACTATCCCAATATGCAACCACCAAATTTGGACGATCATGTAAGAATTATTAGTTTCGATCCAACGTTGTTGACCATGTCTTCGATGAGAAAACCCAAACGTTTAAAGATTCATGGTTCAGACGAAAAGGATTATGCATTCCTTGTGAAAGGAGGAGAAGATTTACGTCAAGATCAAAGAATTCAACAACTTTTCCATGTCATGAATAATATTTTAGATCAAGATGCTAATTGTAAACAACGAGAATTATCCATTCGAATGTATAAGGTCATCCCAATGAGCACCGAAGTTGGAATTATTGAATGGGTCGATAATACCATGCCATTAAAGGCAATTATTGAAGAACAATTGAATAAGGAATCTGGAACCAAAGATCAAGAAGTATTGAAACACATTTCTTCAACCATTCATTTGAAAATGATGGAAAAATTAGCAGGAAATCATCCTGAATTGAATTTATATCAAAAATATATTTTATCTTATCAGAAAGCCAATCAAGATAGTTTAACACAAGTCATGGATGAGCAATACAAGACGATTAATCCAGATTTATTGAGAAATGGATTGAGATCATTGGCAATTTCTAATGAAGCTTATTTCACGATTAGAAATCGATTTGCCAAGTCACTTGCCACTTTCTCTATTTGTTCATACATTTTAGGAATTGGAGATCGTCACTTGGAAAACTTCCTTGTGGATTATTCGAGTGGATCTTTGATTGGAATTGACTTTGGACATGCCTTTGGAAGTGCTACTGAAATTTTGCCAGTTCCTGAACTCGTTCCTTTCCGATTGACACGTCAATTGTTGGCTGTGTTTTCACCCATTTCGACGACTTTGGATGATTTTTCAAATGAAAATGTTGGAACAGGTCTTTTGTTTGAAAGTATGGTTCATTGCATGCGAGCATTACATAATCATAGACATATTTTGTTAAATACCATGGATGTATTTATTAAGGAGCCACTTGTTGATTGGTTGAAGAATGCAAAGAAAAATCCACAATTTTATCAGAGTATGATGATGCAAGAAGGTGGTAGTAGCACGACTAGTTTAGGATTGAGTGACAATGCATTGAGTGGTGGTTCGTCATCATCCTCGGCAGCTGTTTCACAGACTGAAAGCAATAGTGAAGTCTCTCTGATGAAATGGTATCCACAACGGAAAGTGGAATTGGCCAAAATGAAATTGGAATTGGCAAATCCAAAAGTTATTTTCAAGAGCGATGTTCAGGCCAATCCTTGCATTAAAAAGGGAATTAAATATGTCGAGAGAGCCATTGAGGGAGATGCCGAGATTAATAAGAGAGCCAAGGTTGGAGAAGTTTGCTCGAGTGTGAAAGAACAAGTCGAATGTTTGATCGATATGGCTACCGATGTCAAGATCTTGGGAAGAACCTATATTGGTTGGGCAGCTCAATTTTAATTCTTGAAAGATCATTCTTGTGTACTTTTTATACATGCTAATGATGGATGATCACTATTAAAATGTTTACATTGAATCAGCCTCACCAATCATCATATCTTCGTTGGTGGCACTACTGGACACTTTTCTAATGATGGTGTCGCTTTCGCTGACTAATTGGTTGGCGTTGATAGGAAGAGGGTTTTTGTGATGTCGATCGAAGAGTAAATATGTCTGTGTAATTCCCTTTCCCTTGACTTCAAAGGTGCAAAATTCGAGTGTCAATATGAATAACAAACAGATAAAAGTACTCACCTTCTATACGCCGTTCTTCAAATTCAAAGCCCAAATCATAAACTCGCTCATAGGTGGACCTTGAACATTGTACTCTTCCAGGTTTACTGTGATGATAAGGGAAGTTAATTAATGGTTATTAAGCAACTACCTACCTTGTAGACTCCTAAAAATTATGTGTGACATTAAAATAAACATCACCAAAGAATACTTACCATTCTACTAGCAACATTAATGGTATCTCCCCACATATCTAAAAAAAATTGTCAGCATTTCTGCACAACACTCTGCAACCACTTACCATAAGCAAACTTCTTAGTTCCAATTACACCTCCTACCACAGGTCCTGTATTGATTCCAATACGAATATTAAGGTAGTTTGGATTGTTCGTGGTGTCTTGTGCAAAAACATGGTTATGGTTGTAATCATGAACAACAGTGAATACGTCTATGGCAAAACGCAGCACTCGTTCAGGATGGTCTGAAGTGGAGTTGTTATGAATACCTCCAACACAAAAGTAGGCGTCACCACTTATTGAATAAAAAGATGGTGTAAAATCAGTCAAACGAACATAACAAAACTTACATTGTTTTGATTTTTTCTAAATGATACTTGTCAGTGAGAGCATCAAAGCCTGCACAAATTAATAAGTGTGAAAAATATCCATAGGTTAGGATTCATCAACAAAGAACTGATATATACATACCATTGACAATAGTATTTAGCATCTTTACCAAATCTGTTGCATTGAGTACAGAGCTCATGCTGGTGAAACCGACCCTAAGAAAAAGTATTCGTGTTGATCTGTGTTTAACTGTCAGTTGAAACTACTTACATATCACTGAAAAAACATGAAACATCATTGAACTTTTCTGCGATAAATGTCTCACCACTCTTCAAGCGATTACCGACAGCTTCTGGAAGAATGTTCAGCAAGAGAGAATCTGACTTTTTCTTTTCTTCCTCCAAGAGCATGTTTTGCTTCTTTTCAGGAGTAATATCCTTTATGAAGCACACCACTACAGTTTCATTACCCATATTGCTCGCAAATACGTTGATTTTTGCTGGGAATTTGGTTTGATTCTTTCTAATACAATCTAATTCCAATGACTCTCCAGCTGCGTTGTTATTGTTTGTTTGACTAGAAATTAACACAGAGTCAATAACCTTTTTAAGCTTGACATGGCTAGATTCATCGAAAAGAGTATATATGGACAAACCAAATACATCACTCTTCTTGTATCCAAAGGATCGTTCGGCAGATGGATTGAAAATTGTAACTTCAGCTTGAGAGTTACAAAGAACGGCTCCGTCCTATAAGGTATGAAAAAATTGGAACATGGTGTTTTTGACAATGCTTCATACAGTACCAAATAACAACTACGTACCACAGCTGCGTTCAAAATACTTCTAACATGGGAATCTTCGTTAACCATAAGATCTGCACTTCTACGTTTTCTCACCTTTAAAATGTCTGTAACTCTTCCAGGTAAAGTCTTAAATAGCACAAAATTCTTTAGCTCTTCATTTTCCTCCAATACTTCATGTGAAAAATAGTTCAACATCATTCTTAAATGGCGGTATTCTTCCCAGAAAGAGCCCATTGATTTTGCAGTGAAATATATTGCAAGTATCAGGGTAATAAAACCGACTAATGCAAAAACAATTGTAATTGCAATGGACGGAGAGGATGTAAATCCAGAGTATAAATCGACCATACGTTCAATTTTGTGAGATATTAAATCAATGTCATCATATAGTTTGGTGAGCCAATCGTAAATAATTAAGCTTGTGAATTTGTCAGAATTATAATAAACATCCTCATTAAACTTTGCCGAAGAGCTTGTAACGCTAGTAATAAGATCATCTACGCCAGTACAATCCGTTGAGTTTGAAGAATTACCAGAATTGCCACACGTTCCCATGATCAAATCATCAATTTCAGGATACTTTCCAAGAAGTTTGAAGTAATTATTTTCTGCTGTTCCAAACAGTAATGAATACCATGATACTTGAATTAAGCCTGCAAGATCCTTATGATCAGTATGGAATTTGCTTAATTCTCGATCAGATGTAAGTCTCTTATCGCTCAAGTAAAAATTTTCGGTAAAATTTGGAGATTTAAAAACAAAAATTTCACCCAGGCGAAGACCAATTCTTTGTGCTGTCATCATTGCATTAACACTGAATTGAATATTCTGAATAGCTAAAGATGAACTATCAGAGTTGATGACTGTCTCAACAAAGAAGAGAGTAACACAAATAGCAGTGATTGATATCATCGTAATTACCAATATAGATATCGCGTTAGAGGGTTTGAAAATCATGGCTACAATGCCTTCAGCACCAATTTGAACGTCTTCATCTACCTTACTTTCCAACTTGTGATAAATCTTTCCTACTTTATCCTTGGAAAGATGTTTGCCCATTAATCTGACAGAATCAGTAATGGTTGTGAGGTTATACCTAGTAAATGCAATAACTGAGAATGCGCAGAAAATGTATAGCGCCGTGCTTGCAACGTAGTAGCCAAGAAATATCGTTCTAAAAGTGGAAGACTTTTCCTTATTTCTACTCAAGTATTCAGAACAAAACTTTTCATATGAAGCTGAAAAGTTAATTCTGTTCATGTAAAGAAACATAAAGTTGTAGTCGGTTACCGAGTTTTTGAATTCTGCATCACTATAGCGTAAAAAACTGTTACATGATTTGATAAGAGACTTGGTAATTTCAGCAATTGTAGAATTTCTAGTTGTTGAATAGCCAGTGTAAGTGGCTTCTGTTGCGTTGGAATACAGAAGGATTGGCTCAGTAACGAATCTAGAGCTTCTCGTATAGTCTGCCCTTACATTTTCAGAAAAGGATGAAGTTGACATACTCAAAGTATATAGGTTTTGCAATTTTGTGCATTCTTCTTTTAGGTTTTGTCTGTTAGAAATATCCCACAGAGGTACCTTTCCAACAATTTCGTCGTGTATTTGTTTGTAACGAACGTATCTCAATAAGCCCAATGGCGATGAAGAAGGTAAACAAACATCGTTTGACATGTGAATATCTTCAGTTACACCTGTAGAAAAAACGAGGCCGAGTATTAAGCCTACCGCTAAGCACACTAACGAGCCAACTGCAAAAATGACAAATGTGACACATTGAGGTTTGTTATACATTGATGATCTTAATGCTGTCCTGAACAGAAATTCCTTCTTTTGTTGTGCGGTTGCAGCATTTTCTTCTACACCCTCGAATTTTTCATTTTCATAGTCCAAGTCGTCCATTCGGCTAACTGAAAAACCTTGTTTTTGAGTGTCAACCTTCTCGAAATATCCTCGGTTGTCATCGTCCTCTGGTTGACCGCCATACATGCTGGTAGTTGAAGGATTAATAGGCACAGGTACAACTCTATTAATATGCGTAGTGGTTGGGTACTTGGATTTTGTCAAGGTCTTTTGAAGCTGGTGTCTTCTGTTAATTGCTTCTTCTTCTTCAATAATGTTTGCCTCTTGATACATTTCTTGTGCTTTCTCTGGATCAAATTTATAATCTTCAATAAATCGTGCGTATGACCTGATAACTGTTTTCTCGTTACTGTAATTAGAAAGCAGAATATCATATGTACTTTGGCAAGATGATACGAGGTTTGATATCTTTCTGTTAATATTCTCAATTTTAACAATATCAAGTGATTCATTGACCATTTCCTTCCAAAAAGCCTTGTGTAATAGTAAAATAAGTTCTTGCTTTTTCTCTAGTATAGATATAATATTCTTAATTTCCATAATATTCTTTCCAGATAAATCTTCTCCACTCAAAAACTCAATCTCTTTGGTTCTTTGGGTAACCACGAACTTTTTCATCATGTTTTTCTTCAGCTTGACCACTTTTCTCAGAATACCTCCTGCCAATATTACACTAGTAAAGTTGGGCAAGTAATAAGCAACCACGATTGCAGAGGTTACTAAAATATCAACGTTGTTGGCGCTCTTTTGAGATGACACTCCTTTAATGAGAGAAAGTGAAATGTCAACATCGGAGACTGGTGCTTCATTGGAAATGCTTTGTTTTCCAGACTTCATTGAAAACTTGAGAAATAAATTAAAATTTCGTAGTTTTCCTTCTTTCTCAAATTTTTGATAAATATTGGAAGCTTCTCTCTCGATTGGGGTTTTTGTTGCTGCTAGCTGACTCAACTCAAATGAGCTTTTTAGAACATTGATGATAGAGCTTCGAATGGAATTGTACAAGATGCCAATATAAATCTCTGAGGCTACAATTCCAATAACGAAAGCAATGACAATAAGTCCCAAAGTTAGCCCCATCATACCAAGTCCAAATTCCCAATCCTTATTGTTGGTTGCTACGAGTGCACTAACCAAAAATCCAATGGAGCCACCGACTCTTGCAGTCAAAAAACCAAAAAATATCGAGTTTTCAATCTTTCTGAAAAAAGGGAGAACATATAAATGATATACAAGGAAGAGTAAGCTCAACGCCAGATAAATGACAGGTTTAACAACAGGATACGTGGAAGGAATTGCTGAGACCAATATGATGTATAGGCATTGTGTAATAAGGAAAGGATAATAGTAAAAAACAAAATCAGTGGAAAATACATTCTTACTGCTAGGGTTGTCTTCGGTCATGGAAACTGCTGAAATAAAGAGTATTACTAGTAGCACAATAAGGAAAATGGCAGACAATGCTATGAGAACAGAGTTTAAAGCTCCATAACAAGCAACAGTAGGGTGACGAGCAAGTACTTGTACTGGTCTTTCCGACCCAGGTAGCAAGATGGAAGATGCATAATTGCAATCAAAGAAGGCTCCTATCACATAACAAAAAATGAAACTAGTAATGGTGACAAAACCATGAATAACTCGAAGTGCAAGCTTTAGCCGTTTCCAATACTTATTTGCTAACAAGCTGGCTCTATATCCTACAGCCAGTATCACAATGTATGCAGTCAAAATAGCTATATAGACAAAGAAAATAGCAATGATAGCCTCATATGATACCAGGCTCAGGGAAAGCGTAACTGGATAGTTGAGAGCACGAAACACCCATGTTGAATACTCTCCCCATTGATATTCTCTCTCAGCTAGGGCTGGAAGAAAGAGCATGGTCCATATCCAGTACAAGTTCACGAACAAATTGTAAACAAATCCATACCAATTGGTAGCGTGAATCTTGGTCTTGACTTGGATGCTTAGGAGGAAATTGGTGGCTGATTCTTCAATAGAGTTCCACAATGTTGCTCCTTCGTCGAGTAATGAGGCTGCACCTGTAGCTGTTAGAGATGTTTGCTGATCAGCGGAGAGAACAGAAGCTGCCCTACCAGCGGCTGCAATACCATTTGCAAAATTTTGAGATTGTGAGGAGTGTATTTGAGGGGTATCGTCTACCTCCACTGAGCAGCTTCCGTTACTTGCAATGGAATGAGTGGTCATGTCAATTAATTGGAGGTGAGATAGTGATATTGCGTTTAGAGAGGTTATGTTCGTTTTTCAATGATAGATTTGTAAGTCCAATAGCAGAGGTTATGAGTTTAGTTTTTTCTATTCCTTAGGGTTATTAGTGTATGAACATCAATTAAGACAGTCTTGTTCTTTGTAAATATATATGAAAATACAGTACGACTATATGATGAATCAATGAATAAATCGTGATGATGAGAAGCGGTAAAAATAATTTCCCGTTTGCACACTCTGAGGCTGTGATGATGATGGTAGGTAGAGGGAGGATACGATCACACACGCGAGGGAGGAATTGTTAAGGTTTTTTTTTGTGAGTGAGCCTTTACTTAACCGCCAAACGAAATGTTCTCTACCACCACCTTCCTTTTTGACCATCGGCAACTACGGGAGTGTTCTTTTTCATTGTTCAGGCTGAATCGCGAAACAGAAATTTCCTTTTGCAAACTCAGCGAAGTGTGTTAATCAAAGAAAACAAAGTTCCATAAAACAAGAGAGGCCAAATCGATGCGACAATAATATTGAATGAAATGAAAATAATTATAATAATAATTTTGCGGTAACGATGGGATCATATCTCATGGTCAGATGATCATGCTCGTTACTACACCATCATGTGTACACATGTAATTTAATTCCATCTTTCAGGTTGCTTGATGTTCCACGCCAGTACTGAGAACGAGTGCAACAAAAATTTTTTTGTTTGTGTCAAGTGACTTTCAACAGATGGGCGAATTATCTTTTGTGTATCACAAATTGGTGTATGTTCAAACAATACAATGATTTTCACTGAGCTGATATCTCTGGAATATACCGAGATTTATTGATACGACCGCAATCAGAGAGTGATACAAAACCGTTTATTTTGTCTCATTTGGAAACGAGGCTCGAATAAAATACAGCACCCAAACGAGAACCTTGAACAAAAAAAACGCTCTCGGTAACTACCACCAACGTTCACCATCATCGTCCGTGGGAGCTCACCAATTCAGCAGCAATGAACAACGAAGCTCCAACAACGACACTGGAGGTTGAAAATAACACCCAACAACAAGCAACGAACGAAAGTATTGTACTTCCCGATGATCAAGTAAAATCATCCGAACTTCAGGTAACAACAGACATCTCATCATCACAAGCACCACCTCCTCATGCCATCGCAACAATTACTACTACCACCTCTTCAAACAAAGATAACGTAGAAACACCCTGTTCATTATCAACACCAACAACTAAACGGGTAAACTTTTCTGAAGAACCTTTCCCAAATTCTTCTCAACACCAACAACAACAACAACAAATACAGGCAAACGGAAACAGCCAACATCATAATCATGTTGAAACCCATAAACCCACAACAGCCACAGTAGCTACTAGGAATAAGCAAATTAATTTGGATGAAATTGTCGACGATAACACTCACGAAAAGGAGAACAAGCGAGAACGATTTGCCTCGGTGATGGACCAATGTTTTAACTTTTTGTGCGCATTTGGTTGCAAGAGAGGTCAAAGAGATTTAGAGACGGGATCAATGAAATCACGAGGACCTTGGCTCTATAGAAATTATGCACCTATTCATATCTTTTATATTATATTTTGTGGATTCTTTTTCGGAACGATTTTCTACATTTTGGAATTATCAAATCCTAAAACTAACATTCCGTACATTGATGCATTGGTCATGAGCTTTGCTAGTGTATGTCTGTCTGGATTCTTAACTCAACCCATCACCAATATCACAGTCTCATCTCAGGTATGCCTGTTTTTCGCAATTGTCAGTGGAGGACTGACGCTCACTTGTCTCCCTATAACGTTACTGAAAATTCGACGCTGTCGTCTGCGAATGTTTGCATTGAGAGAAGCCGAACTTATCAAACGACAATTGGAAAAAGAACAACAACAAGAAGGAACCATGGTCGAATTGCGAGAAGTTAGCAATTCCCAAGAGCTAATCTCATTAGAAGATTCAACAACAAACGAAAAACCACTACCGCGCAGTAATTCAATACCTCTGCCACCACCAATCAAACCACTCACTTTGTGGGAAAATATTAAGGATATTTTTGTTCCCAATGGAGATCCTTTCCCTCTCACAGACGTTGAATGCTCTGCCATGTGTTGGGTGACCGTGGTCACAGCAATCTTGGTGTTGGTAATTGTTGCAATAGGCTTTTTTATTCTTGGAGGCGTTTTTGCAACCTACTACAATGAAGATAAGTACATGCACGGAAAAGATCCCTTCTGGCTTGGACTCTTTATTGCTGTGAGTGCCTTCAATAATTGTGGCCTTACCTTACTTGATGAAAATTTGAGCAATTTTGTTCATGATTGGTCCATATGCTTCACTGTTGGAGTTTTGGTCATGCTTGGAAACGTATTGTTCCCTCTCATTCTTCGATACATTCTCGTACTCATCTACAAATGTTCCACAAAGAGAAAGGTGGTTTTCAAGTACATTCTCGAAAAACATCACCATCTGTCTCCATATGTGTTCCCTGGACTTCAAACCACCATCTATGGCGTTGTTACATTGCTATTGTTAGTATTTGGTATTGTAGTAACACTTGCAAGTGACTGGAACAGCCCAAGATTGGTGGGCCAATCTATTTCTACGAGAGTTTTGGTTGCATTTTTCCATCCCATGAGTTCTCGAACAGGAGGCTTTAACAGCGTTGATTTGTTCACACTGTCGTACCCCACCTTGGTAGCGTATGCTCTCATGATGCGTATCAAACCTCAAATGGCTTGCAGCTTGCGAGAAAACGCATACAAGATTGTTGACATGGTTCGATATTTGAATGAAGAAGAAAAATCCGTGGTCGAAACAGCCACACTTTCTACTTTCAACCCAAAACTAGCCCCAATGGGAAAAATCAAATCTACTCACTCAATTGTTAGCAGTGATATTGATGTTGGAACAGTGAAGGAATTAGGAAAAGTTGAGGATGGAAAGAGTTTAATTTCTGCTGTTGATCAAAAGGATGAAGTCATTTATATCAAATTGCAAAAGGAACCTTCAGAAGAAGAACAAAAAGCTATGGAGGAATTGGAAGAAGAAGAGAAAAGTGTCTATGGATATTCTCTGTCAACCATGAAGCCCTATCTAAGATCTTCGAGTTATTCATCAGTGGTACCTCCACTTGACAAGGCTACTCTTCCACAAGTTCCATTTCCTGTCAAGTCTAGAAGATTTGCAAAAAAGCTCTGGAATTTGCTGGTTAAATGCGTAAAAGATTTTTGGTTTTATTTGACAACCATGCTCTCAACAAACAACATGTGGATGATTATTATCATTTTTGCAATTTCTATAGCTGAGAATGACAAATTGAAGAATGATCCAGCACACTATTCACTATTTTACATTCTATTTGAAGTCATTAGTGCTTTTGCAAATTCTGGGCTCACCGTAGGCATGGAAGGATCTGCATTGGCATATTGCGCATTTTGGACATCATTCTCCAAAGTAATGATTTGCATTGTCATGATTATGGGAAGACATCGTGGTTTTTATGGAACCATGATTGACATGGAAGAAGAGTCCTATGTTCAAGACTTTTCAAAACAGAGCGAGTTTTTAGAACGAAGAGAAATTCTCAAACAGTACAAACGAAAGCTCAAAAAATTGAGGAAAATGAAGGCCAAGCTCGAACAATAAAGCTTGCTCACTTGAAAACTGTAAACACGTGACGCTATACAACTTGTGTCTTCAACAACGAATCCATACTTTAAACGTTTGACGAGTTTTTGAAATTTTTTGACGAGCGCTAATTCATGTTTCCAATGTCAGCTTTCAAGTTCACATTTCCACCTTAACAACGACCGAATGTAGAGTTGAAACTGATTGATTTTTCATCATTTCTAGCTTGTTCCAAGTCCTTATTCTCGTGCATTGATTATGAGAGTTTTTCACCATCTCCCAAATTTTCGGTTTTTCATTTTTGAAAAAAAACATTTCATGAGACTTTTTAAAACACGAGAATCTAGACAGGGCGCACCCTCAAACCATACCAGCAACCAACAACATGCTCCAGTTGAAATTTCATCTCCAACAGATTTTCAACAATGTATTCACATCAGTGCTGATCCTCAACAAGATGTGCTGAAAGGAGTACCTTCTTCATGGAAATCCATATTGGGAGAAGACAATGCAAATGTTGAATATGTCGAGTATGAGGAAGGCACGCCTTTAACCAATTCTGCATCCATGGATACACGAGCGAAGAATGAGAGAATTCTTGACAACAAGAATGAGATTCCTCAAGGTTTTGTCATTTCCAGACCCTTTGAATTTAAACATAATATTCATGTGGATTACAATAGTGAGGTATGTATTATGATTCTGTTCATGTGAATGAAATGTTTAAATAACTGTAACAACTACACCATCTTTATGTATTTGGTGTGAATATAACATGAAATAATGATCGCCATATGACGAGAAGACTGGTTTTACAGGTCTTCCTCACGAGTGGGAATTGATACTTCGTTCGAGTTCTCTCACGAAAATTGAAACTTGTCAACATCCAGAGGAAGTGTTAGAAATATTAAATTTAGCTGGTAAGGATATGATGAATGGAGTTTCTCTCAAATTCTTTCACTTACTGTATATATTGTATATACAATCGATCTAAATGGTTATGGAATTGGAATTTTTACATTTAAATCAGCCAATGATTTTCAACGTCCTGAGGAAACGAAACAATTAGAAATTGTTTCTAAAAAAAAGTTAACACTTGCAGATTACGTTTCACAGGAAGATCCTTCGAAATTATTCTCAAATTTGGTCGAATTGGATCGAGGTTCAACAGCGGTCGTGTATCGAGCTGTTCATAAAAAATCTGGAATGAAAGTAGCGATTAAGGTGATGAATATGGCGACATTTACAAAATTGGAAAAGTTGGAAAATGAAATTGCCGTGATGCACACATGTCAACATGAAAACATTGTAAAATATGTCGGGTCTTACATTCGTGATCAACAGTTGTGGATTGTCATGGAACTCATGAGTGGAGGTAAACTGACAGATGTCATTTTAGAAAAAGGTCGGTTTACGGAACAACAAATTGCTCTTGTTTGCTGTCAAGTATTGAAATCGTTGAAATTCCTTCATGACCATCAATTGATTCATCGTGATATCAAGTCAGATAATATTTTACTGGGAGAGAATGGACAAGTGAAATTGGGAGACTTTGGTTTTTGTGCTGAAATAACTCCTCAAGGAGGAACTGGAAGAAATGGATCGAGAAATTCCGTCGTTGGAACTCCTTATTGGATGGCAGTAAGTATGATATGGTTCGTGGCACAAAAATTGTTGAATCCTTTTGCAATATTTCGGATTTTTGTGTAAACCCTAATTAGCCTGTAAGTACTTGTCAATTCGTTGGGTGTATTCATCATGAAAATTATGAACCACCAATCTGACAGGAAGTTATTCGTGGAGTGAACTATGATTCCAAAGTGGATATATGGTCACTGGGAATTATGGCGTTGGAAATGGCCGAAGGAGAACCTCCACTCATGGACCTTCCCATGTTGCGAGCCATGTTTATCATTGCTACTCAACCACCGCCCACGTTGAAAGAACCACAACAATGGAGTAGCGTGTTTAAGGATTTTTTAGCATGTTGTTTGAAAAAGAATGCACAACAACGAGCAAGTGTGGACGATTTGTTGGAACATCCATTCGTAATGAATGTCTTGAAAGAAGAAGGCAGTTGTGGTGATGGAATGAAATTTCTTGTCGAGTGGAGGAATAAAAAGTAATTTCACAGATTGTTTCGTATAATATTCCTAACTATGTATGAATCAAGGCTTGACGACTGGTAAAATTCATTATATAAGGCTTGTCAACTAATTTCCTTGTAAACAAATCAACAAAATTGTATTCCATCTGAATTCATTCATGCAAGGATCCAGGGAGGACGTGCTCGACCAGTGAATTCTTCTTTTTATCAATGGTTGCTTTTGGGATCCTGTAAAAATCATTGTTCTTCAGCAACTGTAATTGATACTAAATTCTAGATTTAGTTATTGAAATGTCAAACCCAATTATTGCTCTGTAATCTTAATGAAAATGTCGCTCAGTACAACAGCATAATCTTTTTCTTTTGCCAATTTCATAAAATTCATTGCCATGAATTCATTTTCCAAAGGATTGAAGAATGAAAAAAGTGAACAAAGGCCCCTGAACTGATGATGTTCCATGAATGAAGTCCAAACTTCTTCAACAGTCATTTCGTCGATTGGGTTGTTGTTGATTGGTATGTCTTTGTTGAAGCCACTATTCGATCGGTTCCAAGTATTATTAAATTTATATCCAAAGACTTCTTCAAGAATGATTTGAGCGAACTTGATGCTTGGATGTGACTCGTGTCGTTGTTCAATTTCAATTCGCATGCCAGGTGAATAATTCTTGAATGCTACACTTTCATAGTATGATGGAAAGGTACACTTGAAAATCACTTCATCATTAAATAATATTTCACTTGTGTGGATATATATTGGTTTCACAGATATGTTTGTACTTTTTGAGCTGTTGCTATTTCTTTCATTGGTCAATAAAGAGTTCTTCTCAGTTGCTTGTTCAATATATTCCAACTTTTGTCCGTTATATTCCAAAATAACTCGATACGGACCTTCAACTCTACTTTTCGTTTGTTTTAACTTGATTAAAGATTGTTGTTCCCATGACATGGCAACTTTCAATGATTTTAAATTCATGTTTCTTGTGCTGTCATAGGTAGTAAATTCCACATCATACATTCCACTTAAATTTAGAGAACAATTTTTTCCAAAATGTGATGAAATTTGTTGAGCTATATATTCACGTCGGTGCATGATCAGATCATAATGAAAATATCCAAAAACTCTAAAATAATCCATCAAACAATTCCATGCTGATCGTTCTGACAATATGAATTGATCAAGTCCAATCTCGGAAATTATCCTTCTCAATAGATGAGGAGAAACTTTACTACATTTTGTCATGTAGTTGTTGGCCGTTAACGTCAATGAGATTGGTTCATTTTCAGTATTTTCAATATTCTTTTCTTCCTGATGTAAAGGAGTGGACAATGATTCAATCATCAGAGATACTTGATGAATTTCAACAGCTGGTGGAGCAATATCGTTGAAATCCATATTTGAGTGAACCACAAACACCAACGAACGAGATTCAAAACGATATTCATACGTTCCGCATGTATAATTGTAGGGATAATAGAAATTGGAAGCAGTCATTGAAACTTTTCGTACCAATACCTCCCGATTTCGTTGTAATGACGTGAGAGGTGCCGAGTCTGGATCAGTATAGGGATCAACGTTATTTTGAATGATGATTACTTGTTCGTTCTTGCTACTTTTATCGGAAGAGGATGATTCATTCTTATTGTTGTCGTCCGACGATCGTGAGGAGGTAGGGTTGTTGTGGTTTTTGTTGGAGAACAGCTTTCGAAGGGAGTTTAACATTTTTTTGCAGCGGTTATTAACAAAAACTATTTTCAAGGAGGCTTTTGCTTTTGAGGTCTAGGAAACGGGTGTTAATGACACGAAATGAATTGTTGGTGTTAGGCATTACCAACGGTTGTTTGGACTCTTGACCACGTCAAAATGAACGTATTGTGAGACAAAGGCTTTTCAACATTTTATTTCAATATAATGTTATGTCTGCGATATAGTATATACTGTCATCCAAGTTAGTAGAAATATCACATATTGGTGTTGGATAAATATACTCCTCTGTATTGTGTTGTCTCCTCTGAACTCGAAATAGGTGTTTTGAGGGTAACTGCATGACGGAAAAAGTAGAGGACCGCTAGAAGTTCCTTCTGGTTGATATGAGTCTGTGTTTCGTCTGTCTGATCGAATTTGCCAACCAAAATGTTGGAGTTTGCAATTCCATAAGCTTGAAGGGGCTGAATTGACGACGATTGGGGTTGGTGTATCTAATTCGAAACAAACTCCAATATTCTCTTGCACACTTTGCTGAAGAGTTTCGAGATCCTACTTGGCTCCTCTGTTGATCCTCATAGATGCTTTCCAACTTCTCTTTTGGACCACAACACATCCTTTCTGAGACGGTGAATGGTTATGAGGATGCATTTTTCTTATTGAAGCAGCCAACCTTTAGGAACATTAGGTCGAGAATTATGGTCATAATATGGTCCCAAAGTTCTTGTAGAGAGAAGGCCAGTATCGTCTATGTAAACATAAACCATCATTCCGTTCCTTCTCCAAACAATGATTATGTCCTTGAATATCTTTGTGAAAATAATTGGCGCTGGAGCGAGACGAAAGGGAGGCAGAGAAATTCGAAGATGTTTCCTTCGAATTGGAATCCTAACAGATGATGTGAGTTGAGTGGCATTTTCTTAAACATGGTCTGATCAGGATTGTCTTTACATTTAGCTGCGTCTGATACCATTAATGCCAACCCTTGAATGTCCTGAATTACTTGAGTGCGGAGACCTGTTCTCTTTAGCTTCCACGAATAAAGGTCTTTTCTTGTGACGATTTCGTTCTCGTCAACTGGGGCGTAATCAAACTCTGTGTCATGTCCATCCCCATGCATTGTCACAACTTCCCTTCATTCGTTTGTGGTCGGATTTTCAGTTTGTGCAGTTAATACTCTTAGGAGGGGAGAAATCGTCCATCCAGCTGTTACCCCGGATGGTACGGTTGCAAAAATACTGCTTAATTGCAGCAACTCCAGCCACAATAGCCACCAAACAATCCCAAAATTTTTTTCATTTTCCACAATGTTGTTGCGTTCAATACGGAATGTTTGAACAATAAATCTAAGAATTAGTTGTCACTTCGGTATTATGTAATACGCTTGATGTTTTGGTTGGGAATACTACAACGTCAAACATTCCGAATGATCATTGTTGGTGACTTTAGTTGCATGAACGCATATTCTTCGCATTCAGTATCTTTTACCCAGATGGAATATTGATGATGATCTACATTTCGTTGTTGTCTTCTTGTGCAAGCTTTTCGAAATCATCTTCATTCTCCAATTTTTTCCAATTCTATAAAATCTTAAAAATTCAAAGTGAGGAGTTTCACAATCTGAATTCAACAATGCATCTAATTCTGCAATTTTCAAATTGTAGATCATAGTGTACAACGATGGAGCCATGTATATTTAACTGACGTCTTGATGTTCTTATTTATCCACTCACGTGTATTATTCGAGGTGTACGTTGATTTTGGAATTAGACGGGCCACCACCGAATTTGTTTTCTCCCAATCCTCATCCAAACCAAGGTGAATAGTAACCAAATTGGAAGCGTATTTCTCTCCACTCTTCACAGCAGTCAAAACTTGGTCCAATCTTTGACATCATCGACGTCACCTGAGTTTCAAATCCAAAAATTAATCACATTTCGAAAATTATTGATATGAATAGTTCTTCGACTCTTTAGGTTTTAGTGTGAGGTAATGAAATGCCGATGCTTCTTGGTGCATTAATTGTGTTGCCTTGTTTGCGAGAAACGTGCAGCAAATTTACTTGTTAGTGGCCACGTTGGCGAATGCTTTTCATTTTTTTAAAATAAAAATTTTTTTATTAGCAATCAGCCGCTTCAGCGAGTCCAGCCCGCCCAAGAGTTGGTACATTTTGGCGACTGGCGATTTTCGCCAACCGCCAATTACACACTACTGTTAGACGCCAGTCGCCAATTACACACTACCATAATCGCAATTCGCCAATTATACACAACCATATTCGCCATTCGCCAATTACACACTTGGCTGATTACAAAAACTACAATGCCAATTCAAAGCCAAATCATCCAATCGTTGTGATTGCCTCCAAACTTTATTGTTACCGTTGAGAATAATAAAATATTAATTGTAATATCTGAGAGTTGTATACTAATGTGCAAGAGGTATTGAATGCTACTGTTGTTCCAACTCACAACGGAAATGCTTTTATTGAGACCACTATGATGATTCAAGAAGATTTTTTGGCAGTCAACAGATTTTTCTGTTTGAAGGAAGGAGAAATAAGCGTAAGAAGCAAAAGAAGGATGTATATGATTCTAGACCTGCAGACACAACAGCAAGAGGCTTGAAATCAACAACTACTTCACTTGAAGCTGTCCAAAACTTTGTATCTAACATTCAAAACGAAGAAAGACAGCAGGTGGTTACTTATTTGGAAGGATCTTATGATGAGGACGAGGACGAGGATTATGAAGAAGGAGATGATGATGATAATGATGGACAAGATGAGGATTTTGATGAAGACGAGGATCTTGAAGAAGACTTACTTGATGATGCGGGGAATAACCAAGAGGAAAAAGAGAAAGTCAACTCAACAAATAGCAGCCAGCACAACTTACCTCATACTGCAACACAATTTCAACCAAGCAAAATAGATTCTCCGACAACACCATCCAACAGTGCACTTGCATCTGAAACACCTAAGAAGCCACGTACTAAAAGCAACGGAAGTACCAAGAGAAAACGAGTCATCGAGGACTCAGAGGACAGTCAATCCTCTGAGTCAGAGCCAGAGAACAATGTTCCTCCTTCACCAGCATCTGGAAGATTGAGACGGGGCGCGTTAAACCAATTCAATAACCGCTCGTTGAGCAAGCAGTTCAAAGAAGCATGTAATTACGGACGTAAATCAGCATCGTTTTGATGTTCAGATATTTTTTTTTGAAAATTCGCCAAATTCATTTTTAAGGGTGGCGAGTTCGCCAATTCAAATTGAGGACCCGGCGAGTTCGCCAATTCAACGCTTGGTATTTGGCGTGCTCGCCAATTGCACCTGGCGAAAATCGCCAGTCGTTAGTCGCCAAAATCTACCTCCTCCCCGCCCAAGAAATCCTCATTTCCAAAACGCTCTGGAAATTACTATCCAGATGCAATCAAATTTTTAGCTGTGTGCTAGGATGGGCGATTTCTTCCACCCCTCATTGGATTTGAATGCCGTTCGTTTTAAAAAAAATGAGATTCGTTTTGATTGGAATTGGAAGAAAAATTTGAAAAAAAACGAACGCACTTAAACGAAAAGCACAACAGCAAAAAATCAATTTTAACAAAAATTAGATCAAAAATTTTGAAAGAGCCGGTGACACAAATTAGATCAAAAATTTTGAAAGAGCCGGTGACACAAATTAGATCAAAATTTTGAAAGAGCCGGGATTTGAACCCGGGAGGCGCGAACCACCAGAACCTGAATCTGGCACCATAACCACTCGGTCACTCTTCCCATATACTTTCAAGTCTCTGAGTGTATTGCTCGGGTTATCGTTAGTAGATATTCATACTGTTCCTCATCATCTCGCAAACTGTTCAAAAGTGATCAGTCGTCTCTCTCACCCATAGAGATGGTAATAGAATGTCCGTAATGGAAGAGCAAATCCTTGAAGAAGCACCCGTTTAATTGAAAAAGAGAAACAACGATCTATCGTCTCTCTCACCCAGCCAGATAAAAAAGAAAAAAATTACGGACAAAGAGTCAAAGGCTGCTAAGAAGAAGGATGTCCTTACTGAAAAGGACGTTGTGAATGGAGTGAGCGGATTTTGGCACTTTACTGCCACGACTCAACGATTCTTACCGGATCTTCCAACCATAACCGATCCTAAAAGTGGCAAAGTGGTAACCCTTGCACTTGGAGCAAAATTGAAGAATATGAAACCAACAATTAAGGAGAGATTTGAATGGTTGGTTCGAAGCAGGCAATTCTGTATCAAGGAACGAAGGGAGAATGTGGAAAAACTGGCATCGTTACGTGCCACTTTGGGAGACGATGATTTTTTCAGTCATACTGTTCTTGTAGACAGCTCATTTGAAGTGGTTGGCAAGTTGGAAAATGAAGATTCCGAAATTCCTGCTGATATTAAGGAAACATTCAAAAATATCAACACCATAACTGTAAAAATTTATAATTTAGTTAAGAATTTTTACACCAATTGCAGGCAACAGGATCGAGCACGATTAACAGTCAACACCAAACAACAGCAACGAGTCATGAAAAGTGCTGCCTTGTTCAAATGTAGAACTTGCTCCAACATGCTTCAATTGTGGGAACGAGATGGTATGGTTCAACCAAATGGAGAGGTTAAAGCAAAAAGATGTTTTCGTTGTGTCGAGAGGAGAAGGGAGAGTGAGAGATTGAAACGAGATCAAGTGAGAGAGGAAGGAATTTGGTGCAGCAGACACATCAATATTCCTTTTCAATTGGTTGATAATGGACGAAGAAGAGCGTGTTTGAGATGTGGAAATGATCGATTGAATGGATGTCAAAAAAGTTTGGAAACGTGTGCTTGTACAGTGCAACGAATGGATTCTGTCCAATGTACTCGATGCAAAATAGACCTGTCCGGGATGGTTTCCATTGGAGGATCGATTCATCACTTGATATTTGGATGTCCAGAAGCAAAGAAAACCTTTCGAAACACTCGTTCCTTCCATTCCTGTCAGGTACACAAAGGCTCCTTCTATTTTCGACATGAAGAGCCAGTGGTTGTTCTATGTCGAGGTTGTCATTATATTATTCACACCAAAGCGTTACTGAAGAAGCAGGTGAATGCTTCCAATTCACGTAAGGCTCATAAGGAGTGTGTCAACAAACTCGGAGGTAAATGTTTGGTGTGTCATTAGATTATAAGGATCTAGATGCAAATGCACATCGTGTCATTCATATCCGTCACGTGGACAAGGGTAGTCCACAACTCCAAATGTGTAAAATGTTTCAAAGACGATCCTGAAGCATGATGTTTGAAAGTTATTGTGTTGGAAGAGCCATTAGTTATACTTAAATATGTAAATTTTGGAACATTTGAAACACACATGCAGCATCCCACACATTAAACGCTCTTTTTTGGGTGAAGCGGCCGGCTACAATCTGAAAATATGAATGTTTTCAAAATGCACAGATACCACAATTCTTCATACGAGAGCCAACAGTAAGTGATTTCAGAAGGTTCATGTTTGAAAAATATTGCAAGATTTCCTTCCCAATTGATGCAAAAACTCTCTGATTATGATGACTTTAACGATGCTAGAAGAATATGACCCTATATTGAATTGGTAAAGTCTTTTAACTTGCAAACGAGCTTAATGTGTTTCATCTTTACTGTGAGAGTATTTCACTGCAGTGTCTTGATCATCTTCATGAATTTCCAGTCCAAAATTAACATCATCATTCCTTGTACTCGAATTCGACGAGTTTGTTGTACTTTCACCAATAATTGTTGTCTCCATGACATGACATGGTTGTCCTTCATCTTGTTGAGCCAAAACATTTGCAATAAATTTCATCAAGGTAGAGTCAGGAAATTTGATCCACATGTCACGTATCAGGCAAGCTCTGCCACCAACAGAACCATATTCACAACAAGCACTCCACAAGACAAATCGTTGAATCAGAATGGATTTTTCCTCTTCCGATAATGTCGCACTATTCTTTAACGTTTGTTCAATCGAAGCTTGGAAATCATATTTTGCCAATTGTGACACATTCATTAATGAAGGAGATTTCAATGGAGACTCCTCTCCAGTAATTCCACTCACTGCATGTGTTGTAGTAGTACACGATAACGGAGTTGCTACGGAACCAATTTTTGCCACTGCCACATGATTTCTTCCATGCATTTCATAGTTCTCAATAAAGGTCGATCGAGGATCATTCACTTCCTTGACCCAATAAATGGCATGCTTTCCAGTTAAACCTTTCAAGAAAACCTCTTCAACAAGTTCAAAAACCACTTGTCCTGATGCCACTAATTGCTTCAATGAGGGTGTAGGTGTCACGATTGGGTGGTCATCCACTCCATGTGCAGCAACCGAATGTTCATCTTCATGACTTGACGAGAACAATGTGAAGTGTACATGCTTGACCATCGTCGACGTTGCTGTTGTCGACATGTTTGTATCATGGAATGAATCATATTGGATCACTTGATCCTTAATATATTGCATTGTCTCTTCACTGATATAAATTCTTCCTCCTCTCTCACACACTTTGGACACTCGACTTGCCTTATTGACCGTCGTTCCGAAATAATCAAATCGTCGAGTGGTTGTATCATATTGTGCTTGAATGTCACTTCCAAAATGAATTCCAATTTTCACACGAGGACCATGATACACGACATGATCGTTCCAAACCACTTTTCGAAGGTCAGGAAATGCCAACATGTCACTTGTCCATTCACACTCGAGAAGCTCTTTCTGAATGGACAAGCAACAAGCCACAGCATCCAGAGGACATTGAAATGCAATCATGAATGAATCCAAATGAGTTTTCACTTCATATCCTCGAAATTTCTTGATATTACGTCTCATAACTCGATTATGTATGGTCATGACTTTTTTCATGGTTTCAGTGGCCAATGTCCACAATAGTGCTGCATTTTGAATACTTGTAAAAACAATACAAATAGGAGGTGTTTTTGGAGCAAGCCGATTCTCAAGTCTTCGAGTGGAAGATCTTCGCTGAATGCTGCATCCAATGAGTATGGTTGCAAGAGCAATGATTGAAATTCCAATCGATGCTGCCAAAACAGCCATTCCAATAGAAAGTGGAAGATCTTGTTGAGGACGAGAAGGCGACGATTCTCGAATCCATGACATCCACAATTCAGTATTATTCTTGAGCCATTTACATGCAGCCTCTCGCGGTTGCATTTGATGGTAGAAAATGTCACCCATGATTTGTAATTGATCTGAACTTTGATATTTGAAATTTCTCAAAAACAATTGTGCCCGTGCAGAAAGTTTTGACACAGCGTCACTAATCAACTTGTTGAGTGTCGTTGGTGGATAATCACAATCGACTAGGCTTCTCTCAATATTCGATAATTTTCGACAATCTTCAGAATAGGCAGGTAGAAAAACTCGTTGAGGAGGATTTTCAGAACCAAAGATTTGATGAGGTGTCCAAAACACGACCACGATAGGTTTTTTCTCAAGTTGAGCCTTTTCCAGCGTGTCAATAAGATATTGTTCCGTGTTGTTTTCAGGAGGATATTCCACTTGTAAATTCAATTTTAAATTTCGAACAATTTGTTGATCGACCATGGACCAAGTCCTCGATCCTGTAATTAAACGATATTTTGGAGTGGTTCTGAAATATCGATAGGATCGAATAAATTCTTGATTGTTGTTGTCATTGAGTGCTGATGGATCATGTGTCATGAAATGAGGAATGTACCATCCGACTCTTCCAAGAGGACCAAGTTCTCCAATGTCTGAAATGAATTTACCATTTTGAACATGGGCTCTAAATGTGTGACATGATAAATATTAATGAATCCAAAATAATAGTAGTTGAAATAATATTTTCAATATAGCCATTGTTACCATGGGTGTGAATTTTTGAAACAACAACACCTACTTGTAATCTTCATATCGATTAATTTTCCAAAATTCTAAAATGGCCAACGCCGTTTCATTTCCCTTGTTATTAATTAAAAACACTCCGTCCATGACTGGAAGTAACAATAACTGCACACAAACTCCCAATTGTTCTTCGAGAATGATTTTTGCCACTTCGACATTGACTTGAGAGGAAAGCCAATTATTATAAATTAATGTTATTCGATTATTTGAATCACACTTCCATGGTGTGTCCGTCATGGAAAAGCACAAAGATCGAGGAGCTGTTGAATCCTTCGTATTCGTTGGATTGCTTGTTGTTGTTGCTGATGATAATAGGGAATTGCTGTCGAATGGATTCGGATGAACATGGTCTTGTGCCGAACATGTAATCCGCAGCAAAACACTTGTAACAACGACACAAATTGTTATGAGAATATGTCGAATCGGAGAGGTTCTGAACGGCAGCCGCAGCAACATCTTTTGGCTCTTTTTTGACTTTTTCAACCAAATCATGTGTGAAATTTGGAAAAAATTATAGTAATTGTTTACTTGCCTTTGCTGTCAAATGTCCAAAATTATACGAAATGATCTGACATGGTAATGAAATCAAAGGTTAAACTTTGGAACGTGTATATGTTGGCTATCGTTGCTGGGTTGGTTTCTATTCTGCTTTCCAATACATATTGTTCTTTAATACTTTTCAATTTTGGTATGGTCGAACATTCTTACACATAATAGGAATTGTAAACTTTTGTAACTTTCCATTCTCGAGACTCGTCAATAAAGGAAGCTCTGTATGAATACTCTTCAGCATATGCACCAGCATTGAAAAATTTGGGAATCCATTCTCCTCCCTTGCCAAAATCTCGATCAGTCCACTCAAAATTTTCAGTGTCAAATTCCAAATCGTCCAAATAGTCATCCATGACTTGAAAATACACAAATGGTTGAACCTTATCAGAAACGAAAGGAGACACTGCTAGTTGGTGATTGTGCGTGCTAAAATCTACCAATGTTTTCAATGTGTCATATTCCTGAAAGGTGATGGACACGAGAAATGCAGCGAGAGGAATGGCACAACTTTCTAACACAACATGGCGGTGGTCACATTTGGAAATGAAAACCTTGTCTGTCCATACATTGGGCATACATTCTCGCCTTCCCAGGATGGTCAGTAGAATGGCTTGTTTTGCTTGAAGGGATCGTTTTTTGTAAACTTGTTCCAATTCGTTTTTGTAATAGTCAGAAGGTTCTTGCAATTCACATTCTGTTATACCATCTCAGCTGTGTTGTGTTTCGTTACATTCATTTGAAAAGATGTTCAATGTGTCGATGTTCGACAAGTTTATACGAGTATGTGGATTGGAATTAAGGACGCCTTACAGTATCTGAGGTTTCGAGACAACTTACCAAGATTCTCTTCAATCGCATTACGACAGTTATTGAGGAAACATATGAGGAATAAGACGAGGAATCATCTGCTCATCATCATCAATTTCTTCATCACCAAAGATGAAGAAAAGGAGAAATCAACTCACTTCTCAAGGAGCCCGTACCATAAGGAATCGAGTGTTGAGAATAGTGTAATCTCTATGTTCTACATTATTGAAGAAAATTATGAAACGGTACCTGAAGAGAATACTCGAGTTAGGAAATGAAGTGCAAGCTACAAGAAGTAAGGGCTGATGATTGCTGTGTTTTTTTTAACGTAGATCTGTCTATCTACGGTTTTTCCCATGTACAAATTTGGATTGCCCGCCCAGTACAAAAAAATTTTGCCTGAATTTATTTTGCCTGAAATTTTGCCGAACAAATTCGCCTGGAACACATTCAAAATCTGAAATGAAAGTTGGCGGCATTTGAAAAGTTAAACATTCTTCTGAACCACAAATCTCAGATTCAACATATTCACCGTCACTATCTTGTTGATCGTTGTCAAAGTCTTGTTCTGTAAATGAGTTGAAACATTGAAACATTGGAAAATAAAACACGGTTCAGAAAATGGAATACCAATACTGTGGATCATTTTCAGACGCAACAAATTCATTCTCATCATTACTTGTTTGAGACTCTAATTCTACCTTAAAAAGTGTGCACTTTTCGTTCCATTTAAACAAGTCGTTCATCAGCAAAGTGGAACAATAATGTTTCCACAAAATGTTACTAAAGGCCAATTGATTCCATTGCTTACACACAGCACAACATGGATACAGAATCGATTGCGGAGATAGGAAGCGGAATATTGAAAACAATTCATCGTTGCTGAACTGTCGTGTATGAGTTTTTTGCTCGGAAGACTGTTTGATCTTTTTCGAAGGTTTGTTGCTCTTGATCGAATGATGACCGTCAAATGTAGTTCTCTTGGTTGTTGATGAAGAATTGAATGTGGTCCTTGTTCTCATTTTTTTCTCTTGTTTGTCAAACTGACAGATTGAAGGGACTTGCCGTTTGTTTAAAAAAAGTTCGAGTGATCGAGAGAACTCGAGTTTGAGAGGATGCGCTTCACAAGCGTAAAATTTTATTGCATAAATTCATTTTCATACTAGAGGATCGTCTGCTCGCTGCCAATTCCTTTTCAAAGCTTGCAAATTCGTAACAAGATTTGTTTTCACATTGAGGTCCATAATATCCTTCTTTGCATTCACACTTGTCAGGAGCGACACAAACTCCATTTCCATTACAGGCATCATGTGGAAACTTCCTAAAACATGTTGCTACTCGAACGGAACAATTGGCACCAAAAAAACCTTCTTGACAAACACAAGTGTCCAACGTGGTGCAATTTCCAGCTCCTGAACAAACATTTGAATCGTTTCGCCAAATTCCAAAACATTTAAATTCACCACAATCAATTCCAGAAATATTGACATGTTTACAACGACAGGTGTCAGGTGCCACACAAAATCCAGAAGAGTTACAAACAGCGTCATCAGTAGAATTCTTTGAAAAACATGACCACGCTTTAGCCACTGCGACGATGGCATGATTTAAACCAGTACCAATCGCATAAGGAATTCCATCGGTATTTTTTGAAGAAATTGTCAAAGTTGGAGTAATGGCTTCTTGAATTTCAAGTGTTGCACTCATTTCAAACCAGGCATTGCTTCCATTTCCATAAATGTTTCCTTTTCGTGTCAGTAAATGAACGTTTTGAACTCCATCATACATATGCTCGTTTCCTCTATGTACAGAAATGTCAATTACTGAGTCAGTAGGGTCTGGTAATTCCAATTTTTTGGAAGTTCCATCTTTGAAAACTATTGCATCACCATCCTCAGAAAGCAAAACTGCGAAATAATAACCAACCACCTTAATAATTCGTTTTGAATCAATAATTCCACCTTTCAACGGAACGAAATAAGGAATTTGTACAATACTGGGATTATTCACTAGTCTCAACCCATCGTTGGAGCCAGATCCGTAAACTTTACCTGAAGAAGTCACGACAAAGGATACTTCATCACAAGCTTCAATATCTATAATCGATTCACCTTCTTGTAAAAATGTAGTGTTAATGATTGTAAATTGTGAAACTGGGCTAATTTCAGAGGCTAAATTTCCTCGATAATTACTTCCAGCTCCAATCAAAGATCCATTATTCAACAAAATGAGAGAGAAGCTCACACCTGCTGAAATCTGTGTTGCTCTTCTCTCCTCGAGTGGTATTTCTTGTAATAATGGGATAGGAGTTTGAGTTTGCGAAGAAAAGCCTAATTGATTGTTGTAATTTTCACCCCAACCAATCACTGTTCCATTCGAAGTGAGAGCTAGTGCATGTGTTTGCTTGTAACTAATGTCAATCATTCTGTCTGAGAGGTTGAAAAACGGAATTTGATCATCGGAAGGTTCTTTGACAGGTGCTGTTGCTGCTAAATTGAGACTATTTTGGCATTGACCCCAAACATGTAGCGTGGATTGTGTCTTGTTTGGTTTTGTAATGAGGACATAGTTACAATCAAATCCTCCCTGAATAATGACGTTAGATAGCTGTTGTTTGTCTTCAGGTTCAGAACTATTGATAAATGGCTTGAATGGCGTTGGTGGATTCCTAGACAATGGCTGTGGAAACTGTAAATGATAATAATCATCAAAACATCCTTTTGCCTGCCAATTCACACCCCACACATAAACTTCATTATTTTCCAAAACTGCAATTCCTCCCTCTCTCAACAATTTGAAGGTTGTTACATTGCTCGGTAATGGAACCAAAGCAATTTGCTCACTCACCAGCGTTCCACGAGTTGGAATTGATCCAAATGAATAAATATTTCCTCCAATTAAACATGCAGTAGCTCCAACTGAAACACTACATTCCTTTACAATGAAAGAATCCATTGGAGAGTTTTCTATTACTTTTTCATAGAAATATTCTGTCATGTTCCAAGGTGAAATTTGCATGCCGAGACCATTACTGGTTTGAGCATCGACATCGCTTCCCCATGTGAAAATTTGACCATTTTCACTCCATGCTACGACATGCAACGCAATGGCATCAGCTTTTACAATTCGACCTGTTAGTTCATAATTGAATGGAACTAATTGAGGAAATGGGACAATACAGGTCACACAAGTTTCAACCATGTTCAATCCAAGAGCTCCTTCTTCATTACTTCCCCATGTAAAGACATGTCCTGTGGAATTAATGGCAAGAGCCATCGAAGAAGAATGATCCTCATTGATAAAACTTCCTGTCGTGATGAACGTAATATTTCTTAAAGAAGGAATGATCATTGGAGTTTCTGCGAGTTCTACCTCGAAGGAATGTCCTCGAATTCCCGAATTGTTGTAACCCCAAGTGAATACAAATCCTTCACTGGTCAAGGCGAAATATGTTTCTTTTCCAAAAGCTCCAGTTTCTTCAATTTGAATAATATTTACTGGGATTTCCAATGACGTATCGGGATGAATCATGGTGGAAGGAAATGCTAATTGTACCCATTTTCTCGTGTAAATTTCATGTCGAAATACCTTTCCATCATTGGTCAAAGCAAGACAATCAAACCAGCAAGTGAGTTGTACAATTTTTAAATCTCGCAATGGATTGGTTGATAATAAATCAGCAGTACTAAATGTATAAATTGGAGCCATCGGAGAGATAGCAATCGGTGGTTGATCAAAAAAGCCTTTTCTCCATCACATGTTTTTGAAATATTTTTTTGTTTTAAATAATATTTTGCAAATTAAATTTTCAATTCCAAAATTCCATGACTCACCTAATTGACTATTAATTGTGAATTTACCAAACATCATTCCACAACAAAAACCTACTTATTTCCATTATCTCCACATCCATAGATGGTTTCATTGACAAAATTTCCATTCTCTCCATTCACATAATGTACTAAAATCATTTTAAATGAAAATCCATCCGCGACTTGCACTAACGAAGAGTTCACATTCGACAAACCCAAAGCTGGATGATAATACGAGGAATAAGAATTTGTGAAAGCAGCCTGTTCCAATCGTTTACTTCGAACGGGAAGCTCTGAACTCATCATGTAGGGATAACCACATTTGTGGTCCACATTGTTACCCCACACGAGAATTTGTGAAGTTGGATAAAAGTGTTGTTCTTGTTGAGAAGCAACAAATTCGAAAGAAAAGTAAACACATAGAAGAGAGGATAGGAAGATGAGAAGCGAGCTGCAACGACGATAACTGCAGCTTGTGGGTGCTGGCCGCGTCATTGACAAGTGGCACTTTGGAAAGATAATTTTTTTGATGCTAATCTTCGCCTCGCTTTGTCGCGATCCGTGATTTTATTGCCATATTGAGAAAAGACATCAAAAGCATTAGTGTTATACCAAACTTCATGTCAAAAGACCCACGATGTTAATTTCTTAACCTTGTGTTATATGTGCTGTCATTTTATTACATTTTAACATCAATGAGAAGTTGATCCTAATTGGTCTCAGGAATTATTACACACCTTGCAACACCAAGTTGTTTCTTTTCTCACTTGTTGAGCACAAATGAAATAATATTATCAACAACCATTTCCACGGGTCCTTCATTGTCCACACTCACCAATGTTGCATTTGGAAACTTGTATGGATCGAATGGCATCATATCCAAACAATCAAATTGACTCTGTATCAATGATGGATTCATATAATGACCCGTTCGTTCTTGCATTCGTTGTGAAATAACATCCTTATTGGTTGTTAAATGAACAAAATACCATTTCAATGATTGTTGTTGGGGGAGAATATTCATATTTTCATTGGTTATCAAGGGTTGATCTAAAACATCTTCCTCACGTTCACACAAATACTGATCACCAGCAATGAGTAATTCTCTGTATTGATGTTTCAACGCGGAACATGTGACAAGGATGAATTTCCGATTAAAATGTTTGATTTCATTCATGATTTGAAGATGAATGGCCAATAACCATGGTTTCCGATCATTATCAGTGAGAGGAATACCATTCTTCATCTTTTCAATATTACTCACGGAATGAAATAAATCGCCTTCGATGAATGCATAATCGTTGGATGAGAGGCCAGTGGTAGTTGAGTTTGAATTTAGATATTCAATGATTTTCGAGGCGATGGTGGATTTTCCACATCCACAAACACCACATAACACTAGGACTTTGGTTGTGACTGGTGGTAGGGTGGAAGAAGGTATGGATGAGGAGGATGATAATTGAGTGGGCAATGTAGACATTTTTAAAGAGTTGTCTTAAAATGAGAATTGTGCTTTTCAAGAAGATGTTTTTCTTTATTGTGTTTTGTTGAATCATGAGTCCGTTTCATATCATCTCCACAATCATCATCCGTGGCCACTTGTTATGTCCTCAATAATGATCGTATTCGTGCAGGGTGTTCTTGTAAGAATTGCGAAGAAATAACAGATAGGTTTCAATCCTTATGTAAGCAACGGTAGATCAGTTGGTTAGATCGTAAGCCTAACACGCTTAAGGTCATGGGTTCGATTCCCGTTCGTTGTAAACTTTTTTTGCTCAACTACTGTAGTTGGGATATAAGAGAGTTCCAGAACATGAACGAAACCCACTAACCTCAGCTTAGGGTGGAAGCTGTAGTTTTAATCTGCCCCTTGTCACTCTTAATTACGTAAGGTGTTTGTTAATTTTGTAATCAAAATTTGTCCCATTATTATTCAATTTTAGAAATTTACTTCATCTTTGACAAGAATTTCTTATTCAGCAAGTGAATGGTCATGTTCACATCCAAAACAACTCCTTCAATCTTAATGGTTGACACACCCTTTTCACGTTTATCCAACAATTCATCCAACTTCAATTTCAATGTTGTAATGGTCACACCAGCCAGCGTTGGTGTCACTAAAAACACACCAGGTTCAGATTCATTCATGGAGATGGTGAATTTAACAGCCTTCTTTTGCAACGAGTTCACTGAACCACCATCTTGAATTTCTTGAATGACCTTGTACTTTTCTGTCAACTTCTTGTACGAGAATTTGTAAGTCTTGCTCTTGGCATTCTTGGAAGATTCTTGTTTCTTCTCTTGCTTCTTGAAATAATTTCGAAGTGTTTGTTGAACATATTCATCCAAGCTTGCATCCTTTTCAGTCAAGAAAGTATAATAAGATTTCAAGCTATTCAAACTTTCCTTCAATCTCTCAATTTCTTTTTGTTGCTTCTTTTGAAGTTCTTCACGATTTTGAATTTCCTTGGTAATGTCAATCAATAATTTACGATAATTATTCTCCTTAGAGATGATTTGATATTCTTCCAATTTTGGAAGAGCACGACTAATATCATCAATCTTCTTCTTCACAATCGATGCAGTAGCTTCTGTTTCCTTATTCTTGGCCAATTCTTCAGTATAGATGGCAGATTTTTGAATGGTATCGTCAACACTTTCACCCAATTGTTGTGGAGTGATATATTTGAGAAGAGTTCGAAGATTTTCCTTAGTGAGTTCATATAATTGTTCTGGTGTCACATCCAACCATGAGTCATCATTGTCATCAGCTGATTTTTCATCATTGGATGGTGGAACAAGTAGAAGAGTAATCTCTTCATTCTTTCCAGTATCGACTTGTTCTGGAATCTTATCCTTGAACTTGGTGAGTAAATCACTCAATGGATCAGGAGTGTTTTGTTCTTGTGAAATAATTCTCTTGGCAAACTTGACCAATAAATTATGTGTGAGAGCAATTTCATTAATAGTGATGGTAATACTTGGTGATTTCTTTTGTGTCAATTCAGCGTATTGATTAACACCAAGGAATTCTTCAGGTTCAACAATTTGTAAGCTAGGAATGAGGAATTTTTCAACGAATGGTCCAGTATTGTTATGAACCCATTCATTCATCATGACCATGTGATGATCGACATGAGGTTCAAATTCTCTGAAAGTGGTAATTCTCATCAAGACTTTGGAAATGTGACCCAAGTTGTTTCTCATCACTGCTGAAATCTTCTTCTTGGTCAAGTTGAAACCATCAGGTGCACAGAGAGGAGGGTTCAAATAACGGAAGAAGAGAATGTATGAAATAACTTGATTAATCTTCTTTTCATCAGTATTTGGATGTTTCTTGAGTAAGAGTGCTCTCAATTGTCGGCAAACAAATCTCAAACCATAAGGTAACTCGGCAATGTTATCATAGATACTTGTAAGAATTTGTTCGCAAATTTGGATCATCTTTTGCTTTCTCATGTTAATGACATTACGAACAGTTTCATTGGTTTCCATGGCTTTCTCATAAGTCATTTCTTTAAAGTCAATGGTTGACTTGATACCAGTTTCAACTTCGGATTGAGAAACCATTTCACGAAGCAATGTGATAGGATTCAAATCTAAGTTGAGGTCCTTCTCTTCAATAATTGGATCAAGAATCTTATCATAGAGGACCTTTTGTAAGAAAGTCTTTCCAGAAATTCTTTCGTGACAATAGTTGATCAATAATTTGATCAAAATTGGGTTACCTGACAAGAAGCTGTCAAGATTAGAGTTTTGAACTTCCAACAATAGAGCCTCATTGAACAAGTTCAAAATCAAGTATTCTTCACGAGGGTTGAAAGCATAACCGTACAAAGTCAAAGTGACAGTGTTCAAGAATTGGTCAAGCTCAGATGGAGGAACAAGGAAAATGCATTTGGCCAAATATTTTGGATTAGTTTGAAGTAAATAGAACAAATTTCCATAAAGATTAATATTTTCCTTAATCATGGCATCGGCAGCTGAAGTAGAGAGACCATCGAGTCCATTATTAAGTTGCATAGTTCTTCTACGTTGGAAATATCCAATAATACCTCCCTTTTGATTCATCAACTCTTCGGCATGATACTTATTTTCAGCGAGCAATGAAATCTTTCTCTCCTTTTCACGAACACCGGAACCAACTCGGGTATTTTCTCTCAACTGTCTCACAAGTTCTTGTCTCAAAGCTTGAATTTGTTCAACCAAATTGTCAGTCTTTTGTTCCACACGGAATGCATTCAAGAGAGCAGAAAGTAAATCATGGTCAAGAATGGTTTCAACATTGCTTGCATCTTCAATGTTTGGTGGAGAAATGAATAAACCAGCATCCAAAATATCATTTCCTTGAACGAGTTCACCATTGATTCTGATTTGGAATCGATTCTTACCAGATGCTTTTGCCACATATCGAACTGTATAAGTACCATCTTGATTGTCAACAATTTCAGTTGCTGGAGTTTCAATTTTACGAGCATCATTGATCACTGTTACTTCCACTTGATCACCTCCTTGACGTCTTAAATTCTTGAATGAATCTCTCATTCTCATGACAAAGAATGCTTCCTTTCCTTGAACTCCATTGGTGACACCAGTTCCTGAGAAGAGAACATTTTGAGCATCAGTTTTAGCAGCATCTGTCACAACCACTTCTTGAGGGAATGCTTTTACAGGTTGAGCAAATGTATAACGTTCTGCAAGATTTTGATCATCGGATGTGGTGACTTTTGACTTGTCAACGTACACAACTTCCATAATGTAGTTTTGTGCAGTTGTGACAGTGTAGACAACTTCAAAAAGTCCCTTTCCTTGAACAAACTTGGTTGAGGCAGCATGACAAACCTTGGCATCACCTCTTGGACTAATTGGAGATGAAACAGATTCAGTCTTTGGTGTCAACTTTACCAAAAATTCATCATTCTCTGCAATTTCTCTTGCATTTCCATATCGATCACGTGCTTCAACAATCAAGTGCATTTCACGACCAGCATGGAATTTCTTGAAAGTATCTGTGAATGCATCTGGATTTTCAGAAGATTCTTCAGTTTTCATGTCCATTTTGTTGAGATTTGGAACAATGATGGTCTTGGAAGCATTTTCTGCCTTTGCAAAGCTTTGAATCACAACACATTGACTTGCATCAGTAACTCCTGCATCACGAACAATGACAGTATGAGCACCTCCAACTGTTAAGAGTGTTTGTTTTGGCTTTGGAGTTTCTTCAGAAGATTCTGCAGCAGTGGATGTTGAAGTTTCACTTCCTTGAGCAACTCTACATTGCAATGAATATTCACCACTCTTGATCAATTTAGTTTCAACAAGATACAATCCATGATGACCAGTATGTGAAACAAATTTGAGCAATGTCGAGTGAAGTTTTGATTCTAATTGTTGAGCGTCACCAGTTTGTAATTGAGCGAGACCGAGAAGTGCAGTCAATTCTGAATCTGAATCAATGGTTGGTAATTTAACAATTGTTGAATCGTAAGCTTCTGATTCAGTTTCAGTCTTAAAGGTTTCAATTTGTTTAGCAACCTTAGCAGTTCTAGGAGTCATTAATAAATTATCTGCTGATTCTGCAGGTGACTCTCTAGCTCCTTCCAAACAAGCAATGACGTGGAATTGTTCAGAAATGAGAGGAGGCAAAGGAATTTCTGAATCAACTTCACGAACATTTCCAAACTCGTCACGTGCTTGAATTAAGAAACGAATCACGTCACCGGCTTTTCTTTCTAATTTAACAGTATTGGATTTTTGAGAAACAATTCTGTCAGTTTCAACAGCATTCTCATCTACCAAATGATGTAAATTGGTGGTCAAACCAATGAACACACAGTTATCAGGATCACTCTTTCCTGAATCATGTACAGTAATTTTAGTACTGTCACGAATTTGTGTTAAAACGATGGTTTCTCCTGCATTTGGTCCAGGTCGAGAAATTTCCAATGTATAATTACCAGCCTTCTCAACCTTAAAAAGCAATTGATAATATCCATCACGAGTATCAACAACTTTTGCCTCAACTACATTCTCAGGAGTTTGAGAAATGAGTTTGGCAGAGAATGGTTCACCTCCAGCTCCTCTATTTCCGTATAAATCTCTGCTCTCTAAAATCAAATCTTCAATGGCTTGACCTGCACGATACGATCTTTGATTGTTTGAAGCGTGTTGAGAAGATGGTTTGAGAACACTCTTGGTTGGATCGGAAATTGGATTTGCGGTCACTTTCACATTCCAGACTCCATCGGAACTGTTCTTATTGGTTAGCAAACCAGCAACATCACCCAATTCTTCATCGTACAATGAAATGGTCATGACATATTCATCAGCAACTTGAGGAGTATACTTGACGGTGAAAGTTCCATCTCCATTGTTTAAAACTTGAGCATGAATTGTGGTTGACGATGATTTGAGTTCAACCACAAATGTGTCCGTACAATACTTTAATGGTTTTCCATCAGAATCGAAAGCGTGAATTGTGAATTTGTTTTCCACACCACACACAGCACGAGTCAAACTGTCTCCACTCACTTGACACATTTCAGGATCAGACAAACCAGTAACATAGGCTCGAATATTATCCGATCTCAAATCAGAGGACAAATCTTCACTAAATGTTCCATCATCATCTCCTTCAATCAAGGATTGATCGAATTTGATACCAGAATTTTCTAAATCATCGAGCATCTTCTTGGTTCGTTCCAAATCTTCTCTAGAAACGTTGAGAGATTTGAGTCTTTCCATTTTGATGGCAAGACCGTGTTGGAAAAGATACAATGAAAGAGAGTGAAGACAATGGACAACTTTGTAGACATTCTTGAGTTCCCACAAATCGGTAACCTCTATGGTTGTGTGAAGCAAGCCATGTGGATGATAAAATTATTCAAGAGAGATTCGTTGTAGAGATTGACAAGTGTTAATGTCAGTTCGTGGAGTTATGGTAAAAAACGTTTTCATGATGATTCGTGATGACACACGGATAAAATTAGAAGATGCCAAACATATGTTGAGTTTTGGTGGTGGTTGTAGAGTCAAAATCATCAGTAATAATAATTATGAGTATGAGTCATTATTAGTTATCATTCGAAACCCCATTAGAAACCATTGAAGTAACAATCGATTGAACAACATACCAAACAAATAAATTTCTCTAAACCCGGTCGATTTACAAGCATTCAAAAATTGAGTAATATTATCCACCAAGCTAAACTCTAATTTGATGGTATTCTGATTTGGTTTGTTAATCTTCTTGACTTGTGAAGGAGCAAAGATCTTGGCTAACTTGGCCAAAGCAACACCATCTCTTAACATTTCACCGAAATAGGCAATGGTAGAACCTTGACCGAAACGTTCTTGAATCATTTCTTCGATCCAACGTTTGGCTTCTTCTGAACGGAGAAGAAATTCGTAGGCTCTTCTCTCTGCAATGGAGAGATCCATTTTCGTTTGATTGGACATTCTTGTTTATGTGGTTAGTAGAAGCAAGTAATATTATGATGATGATGATGACGTTATTAAATACTTTCTTAAAAAGGTAAAGGGATATGTGATCAGAGAAGAAGGAGGATAATATGAGGACAACAACACAGGCAATCTCTCTCGTGTTGTTGATGCTGTTGTCAGTGGTGCAATGATGATGCTTTGAACAACCACGTGGTGAGTTCTCTTAGATTTTTTTTTGTGTTAAAAAAGACAAGTGAAGGGAACAGGTTCAAAATGAAACCGAAAGGTGATGGGGTGAGTGATTGATGAATGCCAAAAGACGACATCAAGAGGCATTAAGACAATATGGTAACAGTGGATGGGCTAGTGGAGGATCTGAATTCAAAGAGCTGTGGCCTGCAATTCGATTAGAACCATCAGAAACAACTTTCTTTAGAAATAAACATGTTGTTGTTGTCGTTTTGAATTTTAAAACTAAAAAATTAAATTAAATGAAACGGAACAACGAATTGAAGCTTTTGAAACGGAAAATTGGGATTCATCTCTCACAACAACAAAATGAATTCTCCATCATCAACAACAACACAGGAAGCAAGTGGTATGAGTCTTGTACTGAACAAGATATTTCCTCATCATGCTCAAATTTTGTTGAAAAACGGAGTGCTTTTCTATGATGATGATTGGAATTTAATGCAGCAGCAACCATCGTCATCATCATTGAATAACCATCAACCTCCTCCTCGTTATTGCATTGCCTATCTGTCTCCGAATAATTTCAATTTGAAATTATTCTGCCAATCCAACCTCTTGAGAAGTAATGAATCATCAAATAATATCAACAACGCCGACTCATCGTGGTTTGATCAGATGATGAAACAAATTGAGCAATCCAAAGAATCTTTGGAAGAGTACTATCAATACTTGTCAGAATTTGAAATTAAAACCTTTTTAAAGATGAACGATAGGAATGTTTATGAGAGATGGTCACAATATGCCAATGCAATCCACCTAAACCAAGACACACCAAACGATAATTCTCCATCTTTCTTTGTTCTTCACTTGCAGGTATATGACGACTCCACCAGAAGCTATGATCCTGCCTCATTGATCGGAATGTGTATCAAGAGCGTCCTGTTGAATGGAAAGCCTGAAAACATTGGATTTGATGGATCAGGATGGTTACACAAGAAATATAGAGGAAATATTTTGATGAAAGGCTCTTTATGGTATCTTCATTTACTGATTCATCGACAAATGGGTGTTCGATTTTCGTATGGACATGTTTTTGAAGGAAATGTAAAATCATTCAAATCTATCATTAAGAGTGGAATGATTCCCACAAAATTGAGCCTTTCGTATATTGGAATTACATTGAATGAGCTTGTTGCAGAACGGAATAATTCAATAGTAAGAGAAGCAGCATGGAATGGAACCACATGTGAACAAACATTTCAAAAAGTTGAGACGTATAGAGAATATGAAGATTTGATGAAATCAGTGTTTCATAACCATGGATTATTGTTGAAGAATTTGAAATCGTATTTCGATAATCAATACTTTTTGGGATGTTTTCAAAACAAGTATTTAACGTTTCAACTGTGGAAAGGCCAATACTCCAAGGACATGAAAAGCGGACAGGTTATGCCTACATTTTTGGTATTCAACGTGAAATGTATGTCGTCCTGCAGTGCGTCAAGTCTGATGGAGCATTTTGACAACATGGTGCACCAGCTTTCAACAATTATTCCTCAATTATTGACTTCAACCGCTGAGTCACATTATTCTTCAGCGTTCGTTGTTTTTGCTACTGCAGGAGGGCAGTTTTTAGAATATTTACTGACTCACTATTCGAAAGCTAGCTCCATTTCATCTGCAAGATTGAGATATGTGTTGCAAGATATAGATTTATTTTTTCAACATACCAAAGGGTTGCGTTCAAATAACGATCAAGAAATTCAGGATTTTTTCACCAAGAAGACACATAGCGATCCTTCTTCGCTGTTTATTGATATCAGGGATTGTGCAAGCAAGCCATTGATATGGCTGCCAAAATGGAGTGAAGATCCACGCAGGCTCATGTTAAATGAAATTGATAACACGTCACGTGTATCGTGCTTGTAAACCACGGACTTTACTGGTTTAGTTTTTTTTCGGATCATGGATTTTTGTAAGAATGTTTTGAACTGATATTCTTTGGCTTGCCCTTAGACGTAGCATCTCGGAAACTAATTTCATTAACCCTGCTGAATAACGTCTTTCTGATTTTTGTGCCAATAGTCTCACGAATGACATTGCTGGATTTTCTTCCTTATTTAGTTCCTGCATGAGCACACCTAGAGTTGTGCGTTCGTCCAAGGTCATCAACTGGTACAATGTTGCACCCAAAGCGAAAACATCTATTGCAGAAGAAAACTTGTCTTGTTCGTTGGCCAGCAATTCGGGAGCCATAAATTCTGCAGTTCCTACTTTGTCTGTGTTATTGGTAAGATTATTGATGGATTTAACTAGTCCAAAGTCAGCTAACGCGATAATAATTTCTTGTTTCTCAGCTTCATATTCTTTCACAAGAATATTCATGGGTTTAACATCTCTGCATGCGACGTGTTGGGCATTTAAGGAATTCAATTTCAAACTACAACACTTACCTATGCAACACTTTTCTATCCTCATGCAAATATTTGAGAGCCAAACATGCCTGTTCAATAATTTGGGTTAATATTTTCTCAGGTACCACGATTTTCCGTTCTATGAACTCCTGTTTCAAACTCCCTTTCAATAATTCCATCTCAATGCAAATGGTGTCAACTCCAACTGGAAAGGCATAATACGTAGGAACAATATGTGGATGTGTCAGTTTTGCCATAGTCATCACTTCATCAATAGCAGAATTCAAGTCAGATGTCTTGGAAACCTTTAGTGCAATGTTTTTCTTGGACCTGTGATCGAACACTTTGTAAACCATACCTTGGCCTCCCTCGCCAAGTTGCTCAACGTTTGAATAGCGTTTGCTTAACTGAATGTGAACATCCGCATCTATCCATCCAAATGAAACTTGTCGTACGGAACTTGCTGTGGTATATTTTGTGACAAATTGATATGACATGGAGTTGAATCTGGTATCCATAGCATCCTCTTTGAGTTGTTTCCTGATACTCTCACTGAAATTCTTTGTTTAGAATCGAAGCAAAGCATTGAAGCCACTAGTTGCACAAAATCATTGCTATAGCCGAACGGTGAGGTGTTTTTGAGAATAAATTCTTTCATATTGCTTGTTTCTATGGATTTCATTCCCATTCTTGTGTCGGTATCGAGGGACATTAATTGATATAACGTCACCCCAAGGGCAAAGACATCGCTTGCAGATGAAAACAGCTTGTGATTCAAAACCTCTGGAGCTTTGTACTGCTCCGTTTCAATAGCTGTGTCGTTCAAAACTGTGGCCAATCCAAAATCACACAAGGCAACTTTAATCTTTTGTCCCTCTATTTGTTTCACAAAAATTGTGGACAAATTGATGTCACTATATGTTCAGAATGATACATCCAAAAAGTCAACGAATTATTATCAATCATTACTTACACAACTCCACATTGTGTGTCCAACGTGTATAAGTAAATCAAAGCTTCACAAATTTGAATAGCAATCTGTTTTAACAAATGCTCTCTAGGCTCGTTTCTCTACAAATTCTGAGAACAAACTGCCCTTCACTTCTTCCATTTCAATACATAACGTCAACAATACTCCAGGCTTAAAAAACAGAATATATTTTTGGAAAGATTTGGATGTCTATACTTGTTCTTAATTCTCCTTGCTTGTAAAAAATACTGGATTAAGCACCGCATGGTCATTAATAGCAAGTAATAGAATAGACTTTCTCGAGTAACTATTTCTTTTATCTTCTACGCTCAATAGCTGTCCAGTACGTGTTGTGAAAAATTGGTTGTAAATTATCATATTTCAACAATAAATGTTGCAATACAACCTCTTCATCGGTTGCAACAAATGAAGTATTGTTACTACCTTCCAAATATCGAACCACAGGTTTAAGTGGTTGTGGCTGATTCACTCTTTGATTGGTCAACTTTGAAAACCTTTCTAAGGTTTCATTCACAGAGAGACGATCGTTTGGATCTAAAAGTAACATAAAATCAATTAAAGTGAGCAACGTTTCTGAATACTTGGTACCGTATCTATTTCGAATGAAATTTGTGGTAGTAGATGTGACATTGAATACCTTGTCATGAAGAATGAGTTGACATAAAATTACTCCAAGAATGAAAATATTTCCACGATTTGTATATTCACTATTCTGCTCATTCGCAGCGTATTCTGGTGGAATGTATGAGTGACCAGTGCCTGATACAAAACTACAAACCACATCTGAGAGAGTAACGTTAATGGTTTGCGTCTGTGCATCAAAATTTCTCACCAGAATATTCTCAGGTTTAAGATTACTAAAATTGGTTAAGGAAATAAAGTATTTAAAAAATCCATGTGTACATTAATGTACTTACATGTGTACCATGTCTACTGCATCCAAGTAGCTCAATGCTGAACACACTTGATATCCAATTTGAAGAATCAAATTTTCACTAATGTCCACATTTGTCTCCGGTGACAATAATTGAGAGAATAAATTTCCTTGCAATAACTCCATTTCAATACAAATTATTCTTCTTGTAGAGTTGACCTTAAACACATCATAAACATTTACAATGTTGGGGTGAGAAAGTTGATTCATCATTAACATTTGTTTCACAAAATATTTTTGATTGGTTTCGTTCAACAGGGCATGCAATTTGAGTGCCACTTTTTCTATTCCCATTGAAAGCTGTATATATGGTTCCCAATCGATTGTTAGACAAGTGACATATATTGAGATTTCCAAATGGAGAACTCTCAATAGATAATGACGACAACTCTTCATCATTCGTGCTGAAGTATTTCATCTTTAAAAATTGTTCAGCGCTCAGCTCATAATTATTAATTTTTTCCAACAAGACATCATCATGAGTGAGTGCGGACGACATTGTTGCTGTCTTTCTTATTTGATGATGATTCTTCTGATAATTTTTGATCAAATCACAAATTAACAATGCATAATTTTTGTCAAGGTCAAAGTCACGCAATTGAGAGGAGCAAGCTTTCAACAATTGAACGCCATTGACGTTTTTGGACCAAAGTTCTGTTTAATGAAAATATAAAACTCGCTCGGTTATGATCAAATAAATTGACTTACCACAGACAATCTGTTCTTCTGGAAAGTGATTGGAGAGAAGGAAGTGAGCCACATCGCTTTCACTCCAG